TTTTTCTGAAAAATGTATATGCTTGGAGTTGTTTATTATAATATCCTTCATTTTAATATCTGTGTTTATATTTCCTATTTCATTCTTTTAAACATTTTTTAGTTATCAATGGATTATTATTTTATTCATTTATATGTAGTGGTAAGAATCAAACTCAGTTCCTCACACATGCTAGGCAAGCACTCTACCACTGAGCTACAACCCTAGCCCTCCTATTTCGTTCCTGATATGTTAAATTTCAGATATTATATTTTTAGTTCAAAATATCCATTTGATTTTTGTTTATATCTTCCATTTTTGCTGAATTCTTCTACTTTTAATATTTGTTCCAAGATTGTTATTGCTCATCAATCATATTTATAATGCATAAATTTTATAACACATAATTTTAATGTCTTATTGTTTGTAACTATTGTTTGTCTTTTTTCACATGATGGAGATTTTCATGGTTCTTTGCATGCTGATTTTATTAGTTAGCTTTGAATTACTACCATGAACTATCTGAGGCAGCTAAATTATAAAAGAAAAGTTTATTTAGCTCCTGGTTTTGGAGGTGCTGAACATTGGTTTGGCCTCTGTCAAGAGTGGCAGATGGCACCACATCATGGTGGGAGTGCATGTTGTAACAGCAGTGGTCACATCTCAAACAGGAACAGAAAGAGTTGATGGGTGGGGCCAGGTTTGTTCCTTTTATCACAATCCACCAGGAATTCAAGGGGTCACATGAGATCTACCAAGCAGTTGCACAAAAACTACCTTAATATGTTCCCAAAGACCTAAGGACCTTCCACTAGGCATCCCCTCCTAACATTACCAACCTTTTAACCAAGCCTTCAATCACAATGTACCCTTGGGAGACATAATAAAATCATATCCAAACCACAGCACTGATAGATTTTGTATTCTGGAGATTGTAATTATTATTTTGAGATTATGAATCTTGTTTACATTGTATGGAGAAGGTTGACATTTTTCTTCTAGCCTTCTGTGTATCATAGTTCCAACATCAATTCAATTTTCAAAGCTTTTGCAGTAGTACTATTTAGGACTGTCCTATATGTGCACCACCTAGTGGTCAGTCTGGTATCTGCATAAAAGTCTTCTTGCTGGTGCTGGGGCTGGGGCTCAGTGGTAGAGCACTTGCCTAGCATGCGTGAGGTACTGGGTTTGATCCTCAGCACCACATAAAAATAAACAAATAAAATAAAGGCATTCTGTCCATCTACAACTACAAGAAAATTCTTAAAAAGCCTTCTTGCTAATTGAGTCTTCAGATCTTTGGTATGGTAATTAGGATCAAACACTCACAGGTCGAAGATAAAATCTTGACTCTTCCCTGTCTTTTTGGTACTTTCCAGTTCCCTAGGATCCCATTTTCTGTCCTCTACTCAGAAACTACTCATTGTCATGTCCAGAAAAAGTTGCAAGAGGATAAAGGAAAAACTTGTATGAAGTCTACTTGTGTCCTCCTGACACTGTCTCAACCTACAGAAAGAATCTCATGCCATGGTTGAGTTTTGATTCCTGGAGGCTCCATTCTGGGCCACTCATGTTTCTGGCCACTTTTCCTATTGCCACTTTTACTGTGGAACCGAACAAGTAGAGTAAATAAAAATCCAAGGGATTTTAGGGGAAATTTCTCTGATCTCAATTTCTCATTTCCATATCTTAAGCTCAGACTATAAGCTTTCTTGTGCATCTGACTGTCTGCTAAAGAATGCTCACTTCTAGGTTTCATGCCATATTGAATTCAGGCTCAGGACACTGAAGGAGAAAAATATAATATTGAACTTCCAACTGTTTAAGTGGTCCTTTGTACATACTCTGGTGTTCTTCCCTGATTCACCACTTATATGTATATTTACTTTTCAGTATTCATATCTGTGTCCAGACATTCTATCAAGGTTTTATATTTGTGTTAGTGAGAGATTAAAGAAGGTTCCAGAATCAGATCCAGCTGTATGTTTTATAGACAACAACAAAAAAATGCACTGTTTTGTAGTTGGATCTTGCTTTTTTTATCCAATAAGACAATCTTTGTCTTTGGTGTGGCTTTAGGCAATTCATGATGAAAGTGATTTTTATATAATTGGATTAAAATCTACCACATTGCAAACTGTTTTCTATTCATTGTATTTGTTCTTGCTATTTCTTATTCATTGTATTTGATTTGGTTCTTTTTCCCCTCTTTTTTCCTTAACTTTTCTCATTATATTTTGTCATTTAAAATTTTTAAACTGATACACAAAAATTGTACATGTTTCCGGGATACCAGAAATAAACACTGCACAGAAAAATAAGTACCACATGATTTTACTCACATGTGGAACCTAAATGGTTGTGCTCCAGAGTGAATGGTGGTTTCCAGAGTCTGGGGAAAGCAGTGGGATGGAGTAAGGTTGATCAATTGATACTAATTTATAATTATAAAGGAGCAGGAAGTTCTGGTGTGCTATTGCATTGTGAATATTTGATCATTTTTATGATCTCATTTTATCTCCTGCATTTACTTAATATTTAAGTGTTTTGTGGGTTGCTTTTTGTTTTTTGGTTAGTTGGTTGGTACTGGGGATTGAACCCAGGGATGCTTAACCACTGAGCCACATCCCCAGCCTTTTTTTTTTTTAAGTTGGACACAATACCTTTATTTTATTTATTTATTTTTATGTGGTGCTGAAGATCGATCCCAGGGCCACGCATGTGAGACAGGGTCTCACTGAGTTGCTTAGGGGCTTGCTAAGTTGCTGAGGCTGGCTTTGAAATAGTGATCCTCCTGCCTTAGCCCCGACCCCAGAGCTGTAGGGTTTACAGACATGTGCTAGTGTGCCTGGCCCTTCTTTTGATTTTTGAAATATAGTTTTGTGAATTTAGAATTCTAGATTGGCACTTTTTTTCTTTCAACATTTTAAAAATTTCATTCCTCTGACTTTTTTGCTTATGTGATTTCTGACAAGAAGTCTAGTATAATTCTTCTCCTTGTTTCTCTGTAGGTAACATGTTTACTACCTACCCTTTCCTTCCTGGCTCCCTTCAAGATTTTACTTTTTTGTTATTTTGTTTGTTTGTTTTGGTACTGAGAATTAAACTCAGGGGCATTCAACCACTGAGCCACATCCCCAAACCTATTTTGTATTTTATTTAGAGACAAGGTCTCACTGAGTTGCTTAGTGCCTTGCTATGTTGCTGAGGCTAGCTTTGAACTCACGATCCTCGTGTCTCAGCCTCCCAAGCCACTGGGATTACAGGCATGCCCAGCTCCTCAAGATTTTATTTTTGTCCTGATTTTCTGCAATATGAATTTTATATTTATGGGTGTGTTTTTGAAATTTACTGTGCTTGGTGTACTCTAATTTTTTAGATCTATTTTTTGCTGTTAATCACTAATTTTGGAAATTTTTGGTTACTATGCTTTCAAATATTTCTTCTGCCCTGCTATTTCTTCCCTCTCTGTTTTCTAAGCACATATATGTTACACTTCCAGGTATTGTTCCACAACTATTATTTTGTGCAGTTTTTTTTCATTTCATCTCTTTCTTTCTTTCTCCTTTTTCCTCCATTTCTTTTGCACTTAATTTGATTATTTCTTACACTTTCCATCCACCTTCTGAAATCATCTGTGTGATCATTTATGATTACCTTTTCAAATAGAGCCTTTAACACATTAATAATATCTATTTTAAATCCTCTGATAAATCAAAAATCTTCATCATAACTGAGTCTTGTTCTGATGACTGCATTGTATCTTTGGACTTTTATTCTATCCTAGATTCTGCCTTTTGGGCTGCTTCCTGGAGACAATCTATCTCTTGCATCTTTTATATATATATTTCACTATTTCACTCCTTTTTCTTTTTGGTATCAGGGATTAAACTCAGGACACTTAACTACTGAGCCACATTCTCAGCCTTCCTTTTTTTCATTTTGAGACAGGGTTTCACTAAGTTGCTTAGGTTCTCACAAAGCTGCTGAGGCTAGCCTTGAACTTAAGATCCTCCTGCCTCAGCCTCCCATCTCACTGAGATTACAGGCATGTGCTACCATGCCAACTTCACTATTATTTTTGGCCTGGTAGTGAGGAATAGGAGACTAGAGCATTCCATGTTATTCTGATTAAGTCAGTCTTAGGCAGGTTTACCCTGTGTGTTGGAGGTACGACTTTCACAAATATTTCTGTCCCTCCTCCAAATGTAATGGTGGGCCTAGCATATTTTCCTGCCCCTCCTGGATTATAACTCTTTCCTTCATTTCTCTCCTTTAAATATACAGAGTTTTCACCAGTGCTCTCAGTTTTATTGCCCTTCCTTCTGCAGTTTAAGGGGGGGTTCCCCCTCAGAAGAATAGGGTAGATTTGTCTGGTATTGACCATTGCACTACCAGCATCAGTGAGTTTCCACCAGTGCTCTCATCTACAGATTTTTGTTGCCTTTCTCCATAAATATTAAGGCTTTTTTTAACCCCATAGAGAATATAGAGGCAATGGTCTCAGCAGAATTTCAGCAATGGTTATTTGTTCCATTTTCCTCCCCAATCCAGAACTACAAGATATCTTTCTCAGGATCCTTCTCAGTCTTCCCTGACAGCACCTGGTAGAATTCCTGGAAGAAAATAACAAAAGGATATGAAACCATCTATGTCAACATACCCTATGTGCTTCACATTCTCACATTGGCCCACAACTAGCTTTTAGCAATTCATTTATAAATTTTAGTTGCATCTTCTTAGGAGTTTATATGTTGCTCATCAGTATCTGCCCCAGGTAAGCAAATGCCTGTGTCCTCTTGCTCCCAGCAGATGCCTGTTTTTACATGTTTGCAGTTAGCTATTTATCTTGCAACCTCAGTTTATTATGAGTTCAAAGAAAGTCATTAGTATACAGTTTTCAGCTTTTTTTCCTTTGTAATGGTGGGAGAGATGTTCTTTTCAACTCTACATCTCTGAGCTAATGCCAGAATATTATATAGTTCTGGGGATAAGCTTTTGACTCTCTGTTTGTCTTCCAGCATCCATACCCCAGTTTACCAATTCCCCAACGATGGTGATCATGGTGGGTTTACCAGCTAGAGGCAAGACCTATATCTCCACGAAGCTCACACGATATCTTAATTGGGTAGGAACACCAACTAAAGGTATGTCTCTGAAACCTTCTGTTATACATCCCTCCTGCAGACACTGGTAGAAAACTGAGTAAGGTAGGAGGCCAAAACCCTCAGTATCAAAAATGCCTCATCACCATTATTACCTGGATTACATTACTACCATTATTACTACTAATACTATATCACTGCCACTACATTCTTATAAATTTTATAATTTCTTGAGTAATACTCTATGCCCAGTCCCATGATGGGTGGTAAGCACACGAAAACTAATATTAAGACTTAATGCTGCTGGGCATGGTAGTGCACGTGTATAATCTCAGTGGCTCAGGAGGCTGAGGTAGTAGGATTGCAAGTTCAAACCTAGCCTCAGCAACTTAGCAAGACACTAAGCAACTTAGTGAGACCTTGTCTCAAAATGAAAATGAAACTATAAAATAAAAGGGCTGGGGATGTGGCTCAGTGGTTAAGCGTCTCTGGGTTCAATCCCTGGTACAAAAAAAAAAGACTTAATGCCTGCTCTCAAGATGTTTTATGACCACAAAAACAACCTTCTGACCAGAGCAGTATACTAGTTTTATTATCATTGCTATAATTGCACTGCCAACATCACTACTCTTATTAGCATTATCACATCTTCATCATTTCATAGTTGGAGAAATTAAGGCCAAAGAGATGAAATGCCTTGTCTAAAGGCAAATAGCTGTAAGTGACAGAACCAGGATATGTTTGACTCCAAGCCTGACACTTATTGTGCTAGACCTAATGCATTGGCCCTACTGATAGGAAGAGAAAAATGTTCCTATATTGGTTCTGTACTCTCCTTTTCTCTATTCACTTCCTCTCTGTATTTCCCTTGCCCATCCCAACATCCTATCCATATACCCTTTTCCCTCCATTCATCTTTCTTCCCTTTCTTCAAGTTTTCTCTCTCTGCTTGCAATTGAACCCAAAGCCTAGTACATGATAAGCACACAGTACTGCTGAGCTACATCCTAGACCCCAGATCCTCTCTTTGCCCCCCTCATTTCTTCTTTCCCTACTCCACCAATGGAGAGTTTTCCAATAGTTTTCCATGTGCCAAAACACATGCCAGGCATTGAGGATGAAAAAACAGAATAGACTGTGCCCTATCCTTAAAGAGTTCTTAACTTGATTATGATAATAAGAATACCTTGTATCACCTAGAAGTCCCTGAGCAAGGTGCTTAGGGGGCTTAGAAATGAAATTGTCAACTGGAAGGCAATAAAACTTCCCAGATTGGGTATATTTATGCTAGGTCATAAGAGAGGAGGGTAACATAGCAGAAGGGAAGGTGAGAAGGAACCACTCTCAGGGAGGACTACAAGCTCTGAGGAACCTATGCTGAGTGGAGGGACACATGGTACTGTGGCACATGGGTCTTTGCCATGACCCCCCTCTTCCTATCTGCTCCATTCTACTCACTCCTCACAGAGGCCTACATAATCTTTTTTCAAAGCACAAAGCAGACATAACTATAGCCTTTAAGAGTCCCCTTGAGATGCAGGTTTAAACCAAGGCTCCTTAGCCTGTCATTCAAGGCCTCCACAATTGGTCCCTTCCAGCCTCTCAGGCCCCAACCCCAGTGGATGACACACCATCCACAAATAGTCTCATCTGCTGATACTATCTATACCTTTGCTTGAGCTATTCTTTTCCATGAATGCCCTTGTTCCCTACCCTCATTTCTATGCATACCTATAAAAGGCACCTACCCCAGTAAGCATGTTTCAATGCCACTTTCTCTAAGAAATCTCAGATCAATCCAGATGGAATTTGTCTCTCCTTCTCCCTCACTCTTTTGCATAACTCTATATTGTTCACCACAGCACTTAACAAATTACATGGGAACTCTCTCTTTACTGGTTAATTTGCTGTCCTACCTGCTGGTTTGTGAGCTCCTTGAAGGCCCCATCATGAAGACCTGGTTATTCTCTGAGATCCAGAACTCATATCCTTCTTCACAGAATTGTGGTCAATAGTATTTGTTAGATGAATGAATGAAGTATTCCCTGCTTGGCTTCTTATCCTCTTATCCTTCATTCCTTTTCTCTCCTATGACTTTTCACCATTACAAGTAGGAGAGTATGGACTAGAGATTTAGATTTAAATTCTTTGTCCTGATACAGAAAAATGAAATAGCTCTAGGCTAGGAGTTAGAAGGCCTAGTGTATGTCTGTTACCACCTCACTCAGTTTGACCCTGGTGATTGATTGATTTTACTTCCTTAATCTCTGTCTCTTCATCTTTCCAGTGGAGTAAGACATTGAGAAAGTTGCAGTTTATGATAAAATATAATAATTTTAGAGCCAAACATACTTGGGTTTCAATCCTAGATCCCCACTTTTTAACTGTGAAAGTTATTTTCTATTTCTGAACTTCACTTTCCTCATTTATAAAGTGGGAATGGTCATCCATATAACTTGCAGGGCTGTTATGAGGAAAATAATGGGCTGGTAGTTTATAATTTGAATTTTTACATGCACATTTTATTGCTTAAAATTATACCTTCTTCTACCTCTGAGTCCCTCTAAGCAAGGACATTTTTTGGCCACTGGGATCTTCCCAACTTCTTCACTAGGGCTCCCTGCTTTCAGTGTTTAATTTAGGCCAGTATCGACGAGAGGCAGTGAGCTACAAGAACTACGAATTCTTTCTCCCAGACAACATGGAGGCCCTACTTATCAGGAAGTAAGTACCCAACATATTACGGACCTGTGCTACCCGTTGGCTGAGGGAGGCCTTTCTTCAGATCATGGGAGAGTGGGACAGAGTAACCTGGGTAAGAGACAAAGCCCTACTCAAAGGGTAATTGGGACATCCCTGCTCAAATCCTGCTAACCATCTTCTTATCAGGAACCTTTTATGTTCTTCTACTTCTAACAGGAGAGTAGAAACTTCTTAGCCTAGCATTTGAGATGAAAGTCTAAATAGCTTGGCCAACCTTAAGATCTCTTTCCCCTGTGTGATTCTGAGTACTTCCACAATGGAGCCTGGGTCTCATTTATTAATCCATGTCCTCACCATAGAACCTAGCTACAAGTAATCACTAAAGAGATTTTTTTTTTTTTTGCTGAAAATACATTGCCACTGTAATGCCTACACTTACAATATTACTCATGCCATGACATGACTTTAACTTTAAAGACCACACACCTAAGCCCTACTTGGGTTGATATGATATTTAGCTTGAGTTTCCTTATCACAAGTATTGAAACACTTAAAATTGGGTCTGCTGTCATTACTTAGACTTTCCCAAGCATGTCACTTCATTCCTGCCTCTAAGCTGTACACACAGATCCAATTACAACTGTTTGACCCCTCTGTGCTTGGCATGGTGCCTAGAACATAGTACATTCTGTGTAGATGTTCAAAAGATGAATAATTTAGTGTAAGATATATGAGAGATGGTACAAACGATAATGCAGAAAAAGAGAGAGAAAACCATCTTGGAGATAAGGGTTGTCTGTTTCTTTCTGTATATTTTTCAGGCAGTGTGCATTGGCAGCCCTGAAGGATGTTCATAACTATCTTAGCCATGAGGAAGGTCATGTTGCGGTAAAGAAATTTCCATTATTTTCTTTGGGCATCTGCTGGAATGGAAAATAGCTAATATATACTGAGAATTAACTATTCCATATATTATTCTAAGTACTTTGCTCATATTAATAATTTAGTTGCACACTACCCCCATGAGATATTGTCATGCCCCATTTGAAAGCCTGGAAGAATGGAACAGAGAGATTACATAATTTCCCAAGGTAGCACAACATGTATATGGTAGGGCCCAAACTAAAATCCAGATTGTGTAGCTTGGTAATCCCCACTCTTAACCACTGTGTACTACTAATGAACCCCTAAGAATTCATCAGGGCTCTACTGGAATATAAGACTATAGTACAAACATTTTTGAATTCTAGAGATTTACCTATACATCCCCAATTTCTAAAGAAGGAAAAGATTCTTAAATTTGCAAAGGGTCTGATCTAAGTTGCTGAGATTTGGGAGTTGTTTCCTACTCTTAAGGACTTTTAAGTTGATAAGGAAGGAAGAGGCCTCATGTAGGACTTGAGGAAACCAATAGCTCTGCTCTGTCAGCAACTCTTAGTGACTAGTGAAGGTAAGTCTTTCTTCTATGCCTAAGTTACTCCACCTGTAAAATAATCCTAATAAAAACCTACAGTTTTTCTTTTACCTTATTATACTCACAGGATCTGGTACATTTCTGGGCAGACAGAAAGTGCTTGATAAGTGTTTGTGAAATTGAGATAAATTAATTCTTCCTTTCCTTCAAGATCCTCTAAAAAGTCTACCGCTTTCTAGAAGCCCTCCACTTAGCACAGACATGGAAAAAGAGTGAGTGTTCTGTCAACACTAGATACAGAGTAAGCCAATTTCATTACCTATCTCTAGGTTTTTGATGCCACCAACACTACCAGAGAAAGACGGTCACTGATTCTGCAGTTTGCAAAGGAACATGGGTACAAGGTACAGTAATAGTCCCATTCTTGTCTAGAACCTACTTATCCAGTACAAACTCCAAAGAAAGACTAAATAGGATACTCAGAACAACCAAATTGGCCACCATAGGCTCAATATATTAATTTGGTTGTCTGGTTTTCCGGAGCATAGTCAGAAGCAGCAAAACAGAATAGGAAAGGAGATGTACCACATTAGGCAATGGAAAATGGTTACTGACAGGTTGACACTGAGGGTGGGGCATGACAATGATGAAGGAGTTGAAAACCACTACAAAAAAATACAACAGACTTAAAAAGCAGTAAAAACACAAAACAACAATCCAGGGTCATTTAGTTTAAGGCCAGAATAGCTCATAAAACTCAAGCCTGAAACATCACTGTATGAGATTCTATTGTCAGACATGCCCCTGGAGATCACTCAGGGGGAGAAGGGATCCATCTATGTTTGAATCCTACCAAATATAATTCCCAGTTGGAACATCCCCTTTCAGAGTTAGAGATCAAACCTCTGTCTCTCTTTCTTTCTATCTTTCAGAGCTGGGTTTAAACCAAAGGCCTCATGCATGCTAGGCAAGACTTTTACCACTGAACTACATCCCCAGACTTAGAAATCTTTTTTATGTTTCTCTTACAGGTCTTTTTCATTGAGTCTATATGTAATGACCCTGACATCATTGCAGAAAACATCAAGGTAAGGAGCAACAGTCACTTTTCCTTCTTAGTTTTTGCTTAGTTTTGGCTCCTACCTAAAGATCTCTGTAAGATTTTTTTTTTGTGCCAAGGATTGAACCTAGGGGTGCTTAACCACTGAGCCATAACCACAGCCCTTTCTCTTTCTTTTTTTTTTTTAATATGAGTCAGTGTCTTGGTAAGTTGCTTAGTGTCTCACTAAGTTCCTGAGGCTGGCTTTGAACTTGCAATCCTTCTGCCTCAGCCTTCTGTGCTCCTGGGATTATAGATGTGTGCTATCATACCCAGTTTATTTCTGTAAGATTAAAGGAAGTACTCTTACCTGAGCTTTTGCTTTCACTTTGCATAGGCACGATTCCCTGACCATCCTGGCCCACAATAACCCCATGGAATTAGGTAAAGCCAATATGTAAAGAGCCTGATAGAGGCACAAAGCATCAAATTTTTCTCATTTTTTTTCACAACAAACCTGCATATTAGGGGTCATTTCTATGTAACAGAGATGAAAATAGGGTTCCAAGAGGATAATGAATTGTCAAAGATTTATACAGCCAGAAAAAGATAGGAGTGCTAGCTCTGCCTTGAAATGGCTATCCACCTAGAAAACCTATGTTCTTTATTCTGTACCACAATTCATATAAGAACTATCACCACTTTTAGAATCTAGCCATGTGTTTAGAACTAGATCATTCACAACATTTTGTTGTTCTCTACCCCATTAAATTACCAGAGCTTAGGAATATAAGATGCCCTTAAAGATCATCTCCTACAATCCTCCATCAGGTACTTGAAATCTCAGTTAAATGTTTGTTTAGATTTTATTTTAATACATGCAAGGACAAATAGCTCACTGCCTTCAACAAATGTAGCCCGATCAAACTGAAACCTTCCTCCCTGTAATTTCCAATCATTGGTCCTATTTTTTTTTTTACCTCTTGAGACATATAACATGTCCAATTCCTCTCTTAGCTCTTCATCTACCCATCCATCTATTTATTGATTTAATATAAATTCATTATATATCTAGGATGGGCTATTCTTGGCAATAAAGACATAGAAATGGTTACGTGAAAATCCTTCTCTTAAGTTTATGGCCAAGTGAAGGAGACTGGAAAGTATATAGACAGAACTCTGAGATCAAAGCTGATATGAGGAAACAGGGGAGAGTGTCAGAATACAGTAGTAAGGATATGTCAGGGAAGGTTTCCCGTGGAGGTAATAGTTGAGATTCACCTTGAAGAATGGATGGGAATTTTACTGGTAAAGAATGGGAATAAGAAAGAGCTTATACTAAGTATGACATCTCTGGGAGCTATAAATAGCTTAGATTGGCTACATGAAATGTGTGATGGAATGGGAAGCAGTGAGAATAAAAACTAAGAAATAATTTCGGTCTTACTCATGATAAGCCATGAGCCACGTGCTAAAAATAATTGACACTTTGGGCTAAAAGATATAAGGAAATGGCAATGGGTTTAATGGGCTTTAAACTGAAGAATACATGATCAGATATGCATGTTAGATATACCCTTCTGGCTGCCGGTATGGTAAATATATCAGAAATAACATGACTAGACAAATTAGTCAGTTACAAAGCCCTAGTTAGTACAGGCAAGAGAAAATGAATATTTAGAAGGGATTGGAGAGGATTTGGTGCCTGCTAAGAGATAAAGGATGATAAAAAGAAGCATCTGGAATGATTTCCAGATTCTGTGTAGGCTAACATTACTGGGAGGGAATGGGACGGGAAATGTGAAAAGAGAAAATGGATATTGGGGGATAGGAACTGTTAGCCCTTCAGAAAACCAAAGAGAATATGTCACATTCTTCCAGTAAAGGCTCCAAATATGTGAGCCATTATGACTCCTAGCCAAGTTTTCTGCTTCTTTTTTCTGTAGCCATTTTTTTTACATCACAATGTCTACTCCTCTTATTAATATGCTTCCTAAACAGTGTGTGCTGTGGCAGTGAATGCAATAAAATAGTCCTTTTTCTAACCACCTGGAGATAAGAAATGAGGAGTTTCTAATCTTTTCTTCACTTAACTGATTTTTGTAAACTCTGGCAAGGTTCTCCAAGTTTCCATTTTCTCACCTTTATAATAAGGGATGTTGTATTTGGTGGTTTCTAAGGGCTTTTCCCAAGAACACTTTCAGAGTCTTTATCTTACAGTGTATCCGTTGGTCCCTCTGTTCTTCTCCCTTCTTCCAGCAAGTGAAACTTGGCAGCCCTGATTACATAGACTGTGACCGAGAAAAAGTTCTGGAAGATTTTCTAAAGAGAATTGAATGCTATGAGGTCAACTATCAACCCTTGGATGATGAATTGGACAGGTAAGAGCCCAACATCCCAAAGTTAAGACCTGGATCCTTAGTGTAGTTTTTATGTCCTTATATGGAAACATCCTCCTTCCCTTGGCCTCCAACCTCTCTATTTTTAACATCAGGGGAACAACTTGATGATCTGTCTTCATGGCAGTGTGAGGTATTCATGAGATGACTGAAATAGTGCCTTCCTGAGCAATATGGACAGATCAGAACCTTTATTTCTGAAAACAAATGCCTCCTCCCCATGGGTGTTTGCTACTATTATTGTAAAAGTATTCTTCACACTCAATAATACTTCAGTTTTCAAATATGTTCCACTTCTTTCTTTCATTGAATCCCACACAGAAGCCCTGTAAAGGAGACTGATAAATATCATCATAAAAATTTTTAAGAAGAGGAAATTGAATTCTTAGAGGATTGAAACTACTTTCCCAAGCTCCCAACACAAGTGAGGGGTAGAACTAGGACTCTAACCATATATTCTATCTTCTTATCATGTCTCTTCTCACAACACTCACATACCTCTTTAATCAGCAATCATTTGGCCCCTTTTGGGCTGTGGTGTATGTAGAGATTATAAACAGGGGGAATAGAAATGGGTTCTATTCTCAAAAAGCTTCCATAATATGTTGGCATATGGGAATATCCATGAAAAATAATATATTTTCCATCATAATACCAGCTAAAGATAGGAGAGGTATTAACTGCCAGTCCATAAGAGATGTGAGTTTAGATGTAAACTGTTCCCAGAACCCTGCTTTCTTTCAAAATTGATTAAAATGGGAAAGGATCCTGTTCACCTGCACTCTTTGAGGCTCAAGTATAAATTGTAAAAAGGACATAAATAATCTTCACCACCCTAAGAAGTTTACATAACATTCTTTCAGCTTTACCCAACTGAAGTACTGAGAAATGAGCATTGTTATTACTCCACTCCTTAGAAGGGAAAACTGAGGCCCAGATCAAGTTAAAGGTTTACCTGAGATAATACAGTGAGTCAGCAGCAGAGCATAAACTGAAACCCATATTCCCAAACTTCCAGCTGGTTTTTCCTTTCTTATATCCCTATAACATAAAAAAAAAATGTCAGATGGGGGAGTTGACAGTGCAAGGACCATGGCCTTTATGTGCATTTTCACAGCTTTGCTTTGTTCAACTTCGGTATGTATGTGCTAGAGTGTGGCTCTGTATGCTCTGAGGAAAGTATAAACTTTTCAAATTTCCACAAACGTACCATGTGGACTAATAGTATATGGTTTTAGGAGATTAAAGAAGGGAGGCTGAAGTGAAAGAATGGCATCAAGAAAGCCCCCAGCTCTGGGTCTAGACTACTACAAGTGCTCTGTTATTTTTTGATGTATTGGTTTGGGCCTAAAGAACTAAAGACGATGTATATAGTAGGCCAGATTTATTTCATTATATTTCCATCAATGAACATTTATAGTTTGTGCATTAAGGACAGCCTTAGCTGTGCCTAAGGAACTCCAAGAAGGAAGGGATATCCCTGATTTGATAGAATTTCCAGTTTGTTGGAGAGGACAGTCTATACACAGTTGGTCACAATTTTGGGGACAGAAAACCAAGTGATGGTTGGAGGATGGTTCCACAGAGGAGGAAACCTTGTCGAACTTGCAGGAAGAGATCTAGAAAAGCTGGGTTGCCCAATAGACAGACTAAACATGTGCTTAGAGTACTGGCAAGGTGGGGGCTTCCAAAAATAAGAAAACTATCCTAAAAACATTTCATACTTAATATAAAAACAGCATCAAGGTAGTCAAAATGGAAAAAAAAACATAAAATTAGAATTTGGTAGGACCTACTTTATCATAAGTTTATAATTTTTATTTTAAATTACACATGGTAGGGGATAAGAATGAGCTACTGTAATACTTTTGGTATTGAGCACTTCTAAATGATTTTACATGACCCTGGGATCAAAGATGACTTTCTGTAGAGAGTTAGTGTACTGATTCTTGAAGGATGGATGCATAGGAGCTCAACGAGGGAAATCTGGCAAGGGACATCTTTTTTTTTTAATATTTATTGTTTTTTAGTTTAGTTAGACACATTATGTTTATTTCATTATTATGTGGTGCTAAGGATCGAACCCAGGGCCTCACATGTGCTAGGCGAGCGCTCTACTGCTGAGCCACAATCCCAGCCCCAAGGGACATCTTTTTAAGCAAGAACAGCACTTTGTAATGGTCCAGTTAAAAATCTGAGTAAGAGGAGAGAAGTACAAAGGGATATTCCAAGGGTACAACAAAGACATGAAGATAAGAATGAAACAAAGAAGCTATGGGTACAGCTTGGTAACATGAGGTAAGGTCAGCTGGGGCTCATGTGTGAAGCCACATAAAATGTCAGACATAGCTGAGTGATTTGGAAGTTCTCCTAGAGACATGCTGTACCTAGTGTTAGGAACAGAGAATAACTAGGAAACAATGTGACGTCAGATATTTTCTACTCCTAGGCTCTAAGGATCCTAGGAGAGATGATTAGAGAGAGGACCATTCTAGAGTTAAAGCCCAAGTCTACTTCCTAAGGTGACCTTAGGCAAATGGCTTTATCTTTGTGTACTTTGCAGAGATAATAATCTCTTCTCTGTATGACAGTCATAGGGATTCATGCACCTTAAAATCTCCAATCCCTGCCAGATGCACGGAAAATTTCAACAAATCCAAGTGCTCTGTGGGAATCATTGGACATGGATCATAGGTCTGGGCATAATGAGTGGGTGTAGACATAAAGGACTTCTCTAGGGAGATCAAGGAAAAGTTTCCTGAATTAAACTCCTCAATGACTTTGGGCTTGTACAAATATTTAAGTTCACTTGATTTTCTTACTGTGCAACCAGTGTTGGTGGCATAGCTCCAAAGCCCAGCTTCCCACACCTGAGGAATCTCTCTGAACTCCTTACAATCTAACAATCAAAGGATTAATGACTGGTACATCAGTGGCCTCAGAAGTCTTGCTCCATGGTTCTAATCTTCTGATTAGTCAGTATCTCCAACTTATTCCTCAGCTCCTCCACAGATAGGTGGTTGAGGAGCTTGGAGCAGGGACCACAAGTTCTCCAATGATGTTGTGGACCACCTCTATATCCCTATGCCCCAGTGCTTGGCACACCTTCCAGTGAGTATTTGTGAAATGAATGATGAACATTGATTACATATTTCCAATATATGTTCCTGACTGGCCTAAGAGTTCCCAAAGGGCAGATGCTGGGTCCCACCCCAAACACAGTGCCTAGAACAGAGGAGGGTGTTTGTAGACTGCAGGGAAAATAGGGAAAACACCCAGTCTAACTCCATTTTCTGAGTGTGGAGAGATAAACAGGCACATGCACACCCAGATGTAGAATATAAAGTACACTGTATCATGGCAGGAATGAATCAAACATTACTTTCCTATGACCAATGTAATTCTACATCATGTACACCCAGAAGAATGAGAAATTATACTCTCTATATGGATAACATGTCAAAATACATTCTACTGTAATGTATAACTAAAAAGAACAAATAGAACATTTTAAGTAGCAAAAAAAGAAACAGGGGAAGACTTCAATTAGTATTTAAAGGGGAGGAGAAATGGACAAGACAGAAGCTGCCAATGAAATGTTGATTTCAGAGATACAGAAGATCACTCTATTTCTGATTATTGCAGCAGTGTGAATCACAGAGAAGAGAGCCCCAGCTGCTTGATTTGGAATCAAGCTGAAACTGAGAAAAGGAGAAAGAGGGGTATGGTAGAAGGCAATAAATCCTGTAGGATAGTCAGGAACTAAGACTCTAGAACAGATACTCAGAACAGGGCAAACCATAGAATCTTGTTAGTTAAGAGCAGAATTGCAGAGGAAACTTGAAAGCAAGGTGTGTGGCTGGGGTTTTCTCTTGGGATCAGCCCTCCCTACCATCAGACATTGATCTGCCCTTCTACTTGTGTCTGGCCCAGCCACCTGTCCTACATCAAGATCTTCGATGTGGGCACACGCTACATGGTGAACCGAGTACAGGACCACATCCAGAGCCGCACAGTCTACTATCTCATGAACATCCATGTCACACCACGCTCCATATACCTATGCCGGCATGGTGAGAGTGAACTCAACCTCAAAGGCCGCATCGGAGGTGACTCTGGCCTCTCACCTCGGGGCAAGCAGGTAGGGAGGGCACCATGCACTAAGATGGGCTGCCTGAGCTGGCCGAGGTAGCATTGCCAGTACCTGGGTCCTGAATAGGGGGTATCCAATGATGGGGTAGAAGCAGATTCAGGTCACTCATGCCCTTCTATACTGTCAGACAGTGTTGAAATAGCAACTTAATTGCTTCCAAAGACCAAATGCTCCTTCAAACTGGTAGCTTCACTCTAACCTGCCCAAATCTGGCTGCTTCTCCATCCCATCACAATGACCACCTTTGGCCCTTGAATGACAGGTCTCCTCATCTTTCTCACAATTCTTTGCCTTTGTTCATACACACCTTGCTGTCTTCCTCTGCCACTCTGTCATCTGGCAATCATCATGTACACAGACAGCTCCCTTGAGAGACCTATTTTGAGTACCCATTCTTCCCAACTCAGGGAAAATGCTGTCTTCTCTCCCCAACCCACTGCAGGAATCACACTGTCATTAATTATCCCCACTGCTTACTGCATCTTCCTGCCTCCCCTGTTCCCTTCCAAGGCCCAACTCTTGCTCCAAGATCTGGATCTCCAGGAAGCCTCCTGACAACTGTTAACTTCTTCTAGGCAGGTTGCCAAACCCTGGGCTTCATCTCTCCCTGATCTGGCCTATCTCTGACTCTCACAGGGCATGACCGTCCTCCCCCAGTGAGGCATAGTGACCACATTCTGGATGTTGGCTGCACAAAGGGATATATTTCCTGTGTGTGTGTGTGTGTGTGTGTGTGTGTGTGTGTACACATTTGTGGGTGTAGGAGACACACATGTGGAGATGGCTACATGTCCAGCTAGGCTCTGGGCTATGTGGGCAGAGCAGGGGCTAGCTCTAGTCAAAAGACTCCAGGTACATGTAGTGCCTCAGGGCAGAGTGACACTTCCAGTGGCCTCTGTCTTTGCTCTGAGGAGCATAAGTGGGTGTCTGATCAAAGCTTACCTCATGGTCCAATTGTCTGGGATTTTTAGCACAGGTATTGCTTGCTGGGAGGATTCACTTCGGCTGAAACAACTGGGAAATAAAGTGCAGGAGGGAGATTCATTGTTATGCACAGTCATGGCGCCATCTATTTCCACATGTGTGGCCTGACTTAATTTTAAAAACAGGTCTTTGGGGTGACCAGTACCATCACCAGTTTATAGATGAGAAAGGTGAGATTCAGAGAGGAGCAAAGAGGTCCCCCAGGTCGCAGATCCCACAGCTGATACAAGACAAAGCAAAGACTGAAAACCGGGTCTTTCTGCTTGATTTCAACATCCCTGCTGGAGATATGGGAGGTGTCCCAGGTACACTGTTGCCCCAGAAGGCCTGGACCTTGGGGCTCTTTTTATTTTATTTTTTTACCTCCAGACTGGCAGCCTCCCCTTGAGGTAGACTTTGATCTGACACTCACTTCTTGTGCTCCTCAGAGCAAAGATAGAGGTCACTGGAGGTATCACCCTGCCTGGATGTAGCACCCTCCCCTGTGGCACCACCTGTACCTGGAGTCTCTTGACGGGAGCTAGCCCTGCCCTACCCACACACACAGAGCCCAGATGGACACATGGCCATCTCCATCTGTGTGTTTCCTGCACTCATAATCACACACACACACACACATACACACACACACACACACCAGGCCCATCCTGCACTATTATGGGCACAGTGCATCAGGTCTGGTTTAAATGTACTTTCTCATCAACTATAATCCCATCACTGTAACTCTCACTTATGCAGCACCTACTGCATCTCAGGGAGTGGTATTGTTGCTCCTCACTTATCATGTACAGTGACTCTCACAGAAGATAGACCTGATGATCAAATGCTACTTTTAGGAAAAAAGGTCAGAGAAGGGCAGGGATGTGTCTGAGTGGCTGTGTAAAGGAGTGGGGGGTAGGGGTTAACTCATGTCTCCTACCTGCCAGGCAAGAACTTTTTTAGCTAGAGCATATTGACTGATGACACATATCCATTATTAAGTGTATATTTGTGATGCTTATATATGTAGATACAAATGTGCACTTGCATGCATTTGTGCAAATATTCCTAGTACACACCATCTATGATTAATGACACAACTATTCACAGAAGGAAAGCTGATCTCTTGGTCTTCTGATCTCCCACAGCTCTTTGCAGTTGCTGCCATTGTTTCCTACCATGGACTGGCTGTGTTTTGAGAATAAGAACACCCCAGCACTTAGCAAAGGCCCCATATCCTCAATATATATGTGAATTCCCTTTAAACCTAGGTACTAGAAACCCTGCTGAAGCAATGAGAATTCACAGCATCAAAGAAATGTCTCCCAAATCTTACCTCCCCATTCCAGACCACTTTCTGAGTATCTTGAACCTTACCATCTTTAAAGACTGGGAATTTGTTTCTAGTGCCTACATGGGCCTGTCTGAGAGTCTGACCACTTGAAGACAGGCTGTGTCACAGAAGTTTATACAATCTTAGGGCAAATGGTGGCCAAGGGGTCTCTGTAGAGCATAGGAATTGGTAGAGGTTGGTGTGAAGAGAACTTGGTCATGTGACTTGATTGTCCACAGATATGTACTCAGGCCATATAGAAACATAGGATGGTGCCCAAAATGGAAGGAAAAGGAAGGAACATTTTGGGTGGTATGCCAGCATTTGTATTCTTGTCCTGGGCTCCACAAATGCTAGAGGTGGATCTGTTTGAATGATTGAATATCCTAGTATGGTACTTAGTGAGCAAGCAAACACATACATAGACATACATAAGTGCAAGCACACATACTCTTTTCTGTTTCCTTGACCTTTAACCACATGGGAAAGAGTATGGCTCTATTTTGTTTTACACTTTGTAATTATGCATATGCTTATCAAGTACAATGTGATGTTTCAACATACAAATACATTATATCTATATACTGCATATTGATCCATTCCCTCATGAATTTATCATTGATTTGTGGTGAGAAAATTCAAAATGTTAGCTATTTTGAATTATACACATTTTATTTTTTAATTAATTAATTTATTTTTTAGTTGTAATTGGACATAATACCTTTGTTTTATTTTTATGTGGTGCTGAGTATCAAACCCAGTGCCCCACACATGCTACACAAGCGCTCTACAACCCCAGCCCCACAACATTTTATTTTTAATCATGGTTACTCTACTGTGAAATAGAATGCTGGAACTTATTTCTCCTGTCTAACTGTAATCTTGTATTTGTTGAATAACCTCTTCCTATCCCTCCCTTCTCAAGGGTATGCCTTTTTATAAATTTGGGACATCTTCACTCTACAATTTGTGGAAGATTTGAGCTTGTTTTCATGGATGCCTTATCTTTCTCACCTTTCCCCCTCATCTTTCCTTTGCACCCCATCCCTAGTATGCCTATGCACTGGCCAACTTCATTCAGTCCCAGTGTATCAACTCCCTGAAAGTGTGGACCAGCCACATGAAGAGGACCATCCAGACAGCTGAAGCCCTGGGTGTCCCCTATGAGCAGTGGAAGGCCCTGAATGAGATTGATGCGGTGAGATGGAAGGGGTGAATCTCCTGACAGAGTGGGAGTTTGAGTATGGGTTTATCCCTGGGGTTGTCTTTGCTCTAGTTCTTATGGGGAACCTAATTAATTCAACAGACATTTCTTGACAATCATCCAGTACTCAACACTATTCTATGTCTCAGGGATCCCTGGAAGGCCAGGAATAGACAAGGACTCTACTTTTAGAGAGCCCAAAGGCACACAGCAAGACTCTATCTCAGTGTGACATAAGTTTCCGAGAGAGGAAGTATAAGGGGCTGTGGAAGATCAGAAGATGAGGGTGCCCCTGACCACACATGTGAGAGAGATTTATAAGGAAAGATTCATGAAGGAAGCCAAGGATGAGAAAAGAAACATGCAAAATGGGCTTGGGGTGGAACAATAAACATAGTTCAGAGATGGGAAACTACTTATATGAAGGCTCAGAGGTGAGAAGATACCCTAGCATGTTTGGGGAACTAAAAGAAAGAATGACAGAGATTCTGGGACAGTGATAGTGAGGTCTGGGGAGAAGGGAGATGAATCTGAAAAAAGATCTAGGCTTCAGGGTCTTATAGTCCATGTTGAGGGATTTGGATCCTGCCCTAATATCGATGGGAAGCCATTGACATGATCTAAGTCAAGGAGATTGGTCTGAATGTAATTCCCATTTTTAAAGCCCAGTCTGTACATGCATGGAGACTAGGTGAAAACAATGCCAGGATGAGCATGTAGACCAGTCAGGACAGGTGGCTGCATTAGTGTGGCAAGAGGCAAAGGCATGTGGAACCAGAATAGTGGTATGAAGATGGAATGAAGAAGGACTTTGGGAATGTTTCCAAAATAATAGGGTCAATGGTACTTGACAGTGTAAGGAGTAAGGAAGAGGGAGAGGTGAAGGATCCAACTCTGGTGACTAGGAAATCTCTTTCAGGATATCCTTCTCTTACCTATGCTATAAGTACATTGGCAATGGGTGGTACTTCACAGGTTATGGTTGTTAAGACCCAACATAAGAGCTTCACCACAGGTGTAGATAACTTGCATGGGGTAGGTTAACATGCTAGAAATGCTTCTATAAATTTAGAAATGTATGTGTGTGCATATTTCACATATACATATGTAAATATAGATGTACAAAGGAACACATATTTAGAAAGGGGCTATTTAGTAAAACATACATGTGCAAATATGTAAACTTGTCATCATAAGAGTTTAGTTTATGTTGTAAAGAAGAATGAAATTATGACATTTGCTGGTAAATGGATGGTAGAATAAAGGAATAGATTTGAGAGAGATTTAGGAGGCAGAATCTCAGGAGTTGGCCATAGGGGGGGTGAATAAGGAAGAAGCAAGAATTTGCAATGATGCCTAAGTTTCTGATTTATTTTCTATTATTGATTACATTATTAATGTTTAATTCCATCAATTGAGTCTTTTAAATGTACCTTGTACACCCTGTACTAGTATCTTTTACATATATTATCCCTAATATCCAAAACACTTCTACATGGTAATTGTAATTCTCATTTCTCAAGTAAGGAAAATAAAATTAAGGGGAATTAAGCATTTTGCCTAAAGTCAAGAGAGTGTCAGTGGCCATTTCCATAGGCAAAAGGCTCCCAGCTTGCCTCAAAATTGAAAGTTGAAGCCAATCAGGAAGGACCTGTGTACTGAATGGGGTACACATTCTTCCATGGGCAGTGTCAGTTGGAGAAGGTCGACACTACAGAGCTACTTATAGGTTGTGACAAGGGTTCAGTTCCACAACCCTGAGGGAAGCCTGGTAAATGACCCAAAAGACAACAGAGGCCACTTTCCCACTTCAGGAAGGTTTAATTGGAATTTACACACTCCTAAGGAAACTTTAGAAACCCAACATCACTTGCCACTACCTCCAGCAGCCACCTCACTCCTGGAGATTTCTCAGCCGACTTGGAAGCTCTTCTGTGAAGAGCTTCCAAAGAACTCATTACTTCCTTGGATAAAGAGATTGAAACCCATTCTAAAGCCATTAGAAATTTACTAGTTTTGCTCTCTGAAATTTCTGAAATACAGACACCTGTTAAATACAGACACCTGTTAAAAAATAAGGATCAGTCACTTATTTTTCTATCTAAAGTAGGGGTCGGGATGGAGGGATAGGAAATGCTATAGAATGGAAGAATATGACTATATTGTGCTCACGCATGTGTATTTGCATACAAAATCACAGATATCTGCCACAAATATGCTTATGATTGTACATATGAACTTCACAGACACAGGGACCTTCTTCTACCATCATGCCTATACCACACATACATACACATGCCTAGAGATTCATATAGACACACTCATTATAGACACATGCAGCCCTATATATACCCCACATGGACACAGAGGAGCATATAATGAACATGAACATAAACATAGCACAGATACAAAACCTCAAGCATATTACTGCAAATTCACACAGGCCTCAGACACAGGAATAGAAATATACATAGAACAGAAACACAATGAAAGATACATATTCATGGATACACGTGCTGCAGACACACTTAGATGTGCATGGATACACATACCACAGAGACATCCACACAGGCATAACACACACACACACACACACACACACACAAATACAATACATATGCAAGGCATAAGTCCTTTAACAAGCATGCTGCATACATACTTGCAGATACAACCACAAATTCTTATGCCTACATATTTGTAAAAATACATAATTATATGTATATTGTATACTTATATACCTACTGAGACAATCATAGAAAAGCATCATATACTCAACCAGAACACACCACCATCCACACACTATTGTTTTTATACTCACACAAGTACACACCATGCACACATATATATTCACATACACACCCACAAATAACAAACACAACTCCATAGCTGTGCTCACAGAAGTCCCAAGTACCATATTATTGGTCTTAGAACTATGGCAAAGGCTGTCTGGATTTCACCAGGCGAATGCTTGTGTCCCCCAATACTTTCTCTTAGGGTGTCTGTGAGGAGATGACCTATGAAGAAATCCAAGAACACTACCCTGAAGAATTTGCACTACGGGACCAAGATAAATATCGTTACCGCTATCCCAAAGGAGAGGTAAGTTTTGGAGGGTGGCCTAATTCTTAGAACTCCTCCACAGCGTCTCCATTCCAACTTCCAAAATTCCAGTTTTAACACATTTTTAGAAACAGGGTAAAGCATGTTTTGCAACATCTGCCATCTTACGAGGCACACAGTGATTTGGCCATTGGCCATCAATTCATGGCTATATGCAACAGATTCCTCTTATTAAAAAGCTACATATATGCTAGGCATGGGGGTGCACACTTGTAATCCTAGCAGCTTTAGAGATTGAAGCAAGAGGATTGGATTGCAAGTTGGAGATCAGCCTTGGCAACTTAGCGAGACCCTGTCTCAAAATTTTTTTTTAAATTTTTTTTAAAGAGAGAGTGAGAGGGGGGGGGGAGAGAGAGAGAGAGAGAATTTTTAATATTTATTTTTTAGTTCTCGGCGGACACAACATCTTTTTTGGTATGTGGTGCTGAGGATCGAACCCGGGCCGCACGCATGCCAGGCGAGCGCGCTACCACTTGAGCCACATCCCCAGCCCCCTTTGTCATGTTTTTAATCTTGCATTTTTATTTATTCACATTTACTATTAGAACTTATCTTAAGCAATTCTTGAATTTGTAAACTGTCCATATATNTTATTTTTTAGTTCTCGGCGGACACAACATCTTTTTTGGTATGTGGTGCTGAGGATCGAACCCGGGCCGCACGCATGCCAGGCGAGCGCGCTACCGCTGAGCCACATCTCCAGCCCCTCAAAATTTTAAAAAATAAAAAGGGCTGGGGTTATAGCTCAGTGGTAGAGCATCCCAGGTTCAATTCTCAATACCCCTCCACACACACAAAGCTACAATGCTTTCTCTCTATTTTTAGGAGGACCCACTTTATCCTACACTTTATCTCTGGTCACCTCACTGGAGAAACTTGAAATACTTCTACATACTCCAATTTTAAGACATTTTATTGCCAAGTGCACTACATCTCCAGTCTCTCTGGACAGTTGGTATCATCCTAAAGGACAATAGGTACTACTTTGATCAACTTCTTTGCCATTACATGAGCCAGACCATCACTTTCCTATTTGCATATGAAATGACTACTTATTACTTTCTATCCAACCCCCACTTAGCCAGTTCCACATTTTAGAGCTTTTGCTCATCACACTCCATTTCTGAAACAAACTCCTGTGAACAATTATCAGAAAACCAGGGCATTTGGGAAGACAAAACAATAGATACTCTGTTCAGTTAAAAAGAACTTTCACATTTTATCTTCAACCTCAGCAATGATAATGTAAAGTCAGGCTTAATTTGCCATCATTTTCCTTTATATATTTTGAGGCTTTGTTAAAAAGAGACATACAAAATTTTTTTTGTTTTTTGTCTCTTATAAACAGCTTATAGTTGTATTTTGCTGTTTCTAATCCAAACTAAAAATGGTAGTTTCATACCTTTACTTTTATTTTAGTTACTGATTTTTTTAGTTTATTTCTATTATCTTATCTTGAGCTTCCCATGCTTAATTTTTTCTCTTCTCCTGAATCCTTTAGGATTGAGTTTTTACTATATTTAAGTTATATAATGTTTACATTCTTTTAGAGGTTGTCCTTAACATATTTAAGATATTTCATCATGATTCTTTTTATTCTTACAGATATCCTAATAAGGATATGAGGTCTAAATATTATACTTCAGAATCACTCAATTCATTGCTATGTGTTGTTATGCAACTGATTTGAACAATTAACATTTTAATGTGTTATTAACAAAACCTAGAATCAACCTCTCCACCATCACCCCAAATAATAAAAGAACTTTAAAACTCTGGATTCTCCTTCTCCTAGTTTGCATGTTGTTTTATATTTTAGTTCAACCTTGGTCTTAACCCCCAAATGAATTAGCACTGTTGTTATTACCACTGCATCTAGTTAATGTTTATTTATTTATTTATTTATTTTTGTACTGGGGATTTAAACCAGGGGCGCTTAACCACTGAGTTACCTGGTCAGACCTTTTTTGGAGGGGAGGGGGTCTTAAAAAAGACCCTAACCCTTTTTATTTTGGGGGGACAAGGTTGCCTAGGGCCTCAACTCACTGATACTGGCTTTGAACTTGCAATCCTCTTGCCTCAGGCTCCTGAGTTGCTAGGATTACAGGCATGTGCCACAATGCCCAGCTTGTCTATGTTTTATTCTTTTTATTTGTTTTTTTAGTTATACATGACAGTATATTTTGACATATTTTTACAAACATGAGGTATGTCTTATTCTAATTAGGATCCCAGTCTTGTGGATGTACATAAGGTGGAGATTCGCTGTGGTGTATTCATATATGTACATGGAAAGTCATGTTAGATTCATTCAGTTTTCTCTCCTACTCTGATTCCTCTTCCCTTCCCTTCATTCCTCTTTGTTTAATTCACTCCACTGAACTTCTATTCTCCCCAGCTTGTTGTGAGTTAGCATCCATGTATCAGAGAGAACATTCCACCTTTGGTTTTGCGGGGACTGGCTTATTTCATTAGCATGGTAGTCTCCAGATCCATCTGTTTACCAGCAAATGTCATAAAGTCATTCTTTTTATAGCTAAATAATATTCCATTGTGTATATCACCACATTTTATTTATCCTTTCATCTATGAAAGGGTAACTAGTTTGGTTACATGGCTTAGCTATTGTGAATCAAACTGCTATAAACATTGATGTGGCTGCATAACTGTAGTATGCTGATTTTAACTCCTTTGGATATACACCAAAGAGTGGGCTAACCAGGTCAAATGGTGGTTCCATTCCCAGTTTTTTGAGGAATCTCCATACTGCTTTCCAGAGTAGTTGCACCAATTTGCAATCCTACCAGCAATGTATGAATGTACCATTTTCCCTACATCCTTGCCAATATTTTTGTTGCCTGTGTTCCTGATAATTGCCATTCTGACAGGAGTGAGATAAAATCTCAGTAGATTTAACTACTTGTTTATGAAATCCTTTGATCATTCTTGCTGCTTGTAACCTGAAGACTGCCTTTCGAGTTCTTTTTTCCCTTCTTTCTTTGGAAGTTCCTTGTTTTTTCTAAAACTATTTGTGGGGGATGTCTTCAATAACCAATGAAACTTTGGTGTGGAATAAAACTCTAAGCTGACAGTTGATTCTCAGCATTTTGAAGATATTACCATTCTGGCTTCTAATCTAAGAAACTTGGTTAGTTTTATTTTTTCTTTTGATGCTTTTTTTTAAAAAAATTGTTTTAGTTGTAGATGGACACAATGCCTTTATTTTATTAATTTATTTTTAATGTGGTGCTGAGGATTAAACCCAGTACCTCGCACATGCTAGGCAAGTGCTTTACCACTGAGCCACAACCCCAGCCCTCTTTTGCTGCTTTTAAAATCTATCTCTGTTACCTTTGAGCTTCACAATTATGGCTAGATATCAATTTCATTTTATTTATCTAAATTTAGGATTCACTGAATTTCCTGAATCTGAAAGTTGGAATTTTCATCAGTTCTAGAAAACCATCAGATATTATATCTTCCAAATTCTCTCACATTCTTTCTGTTATCTTTTTCTGAATACAGTTACATATGTTAATCTTGCCTTTATTTTTCATATCACCTAACTTTTCTTCTTATTTTCTAGCTGTTTGTATATCTTTGCTGCATTCTGAGTAATTTCTTCAGCTTTCTCTTCCAAGTCACTCTTTTTTAAGTTATATAAAATGCTGTTTATACCTTCAATTTAATTTTTAATTTTTTGAGATTTGGGGGATTGAATTCAGAGTGCTGCACACTGAGCAACATCCTTAGCTCTTTTTTATTTTTTATTTTGAGATATAGTCTTGATATGTTGCTGAGGCTGGCCTTGAACTTGCAATTCTCCTGCCTCTGCTCCTGAATGTAGTACAGGCATGTACTAAACCATATCTAGCTAGTTTTCAATTTTAATGATTACCATTTTTATTTCTGAACTTCTGTTTAGTTTATTTTGAAATCTGCATCATATATTTGATACCATCTTATTTCTTACAGTCTATCATTTTATTTCTTAAAAATTCAAACATACTTATTTTATATGGTGCATCCTTTAAGTTTTTAGAATTATCTTCTTGTTTTTCTAATTATTCTTACCCATACTAGGTTATTTCCTCATGTATTTGTGAGAATTTGTTTTGGAAATCCCAGGTGGCCTGAGGTGAAAAAAATCCAGAGAGAATTTCCATTTGTTTCTTCCATGCACTCCTGGGAGTTAACAACTTGAGACCACTTTTTATTAAACTCTCATCAAAACATTTTCTAACCTACATGGGGAGTGTAATTCCATGTCACCAACCCACCTACAGGAATACTTGCAACTGTGAATTCTTACAGAAGGCATTTCCTAATTTTTTTCCACCAAAAGTCATGGAGAGACTGATAAATTTTCTTGTTGCTTCGCTTTGCCCATGGATGAACTTTTTCTATTTTCTATTTTACATAGGGTATAAGGTTTGCCCTTTAAGGGACTCCCAGTTATGTTAGAGTCTTAGTCCCAACTCCCCACAATATGCACACCTAAGGCTTTATATCCTGTTTCTATAAGGATTTAAAAACTCAAACCCCTTGGTTACTATGATTGTAAAATACACTCAGGACAGCGATAGCTTTTATACCCTCTTCTGATTCTTTTTACCAAGTTTTCCATTTTGGAATCCTATAGTTGAAATTACCTATTGTTTTGAAGTGTCAACAGTGTAATTAAGATATCTTGTAGTGGGGAGTATTATTATTGCTATTTTGCCCACTATATTGATTGCACCCATTTAACAGATGGGAAACTGAGACCCTATAAAGAAAATAAGTTACCTAAGATCACACTGCATGGTAAACAACTCACCCAGCCCCAGAATCAAGTTTCCTGATTCCTAGGTTTGATTTCTTCCTCTCTGGGCTAATATGCCTCATCCCCCTTATCCAAAGATTTCTCTTACCTTTAGTCCTATGAGGATCTGGTTCAGCGTCTGGAGCCGGTTATAATGGAGCTAGAACGACAGGAAAATGTATTGGTGATTTGCCACCAAGCTGTCATGCGGTGCCTCTTGGCCTACTTCCTGGATAAAAGTTCAGGTAACATCTTCCTTCCTGTTCCTGGTGTGGGGAACTGAATGTGATTTTATATGCACAATTGGAGGTTTATTTCTTAGTAGTTAAAAACACAATATCTAAAACAAGGATGCCTAGATTTAGATTATTTGTAACTTTACTTATCATTCCTAACTGTACTTCCTTTGGCAAAGTACTATAACCCTTCTGGCCTTAGTTTCCTCATCTGGAAAATGGGGAGAATAATGATGAAATTTCATTAAACGTGTAAATAGCTTAGAACACTTCATAATACACTGTGTGGGCCATATAAGTGTTTGGGTATATTATTAGCATTATTCCAATGTAATGTTTTCAAAGCTGACATTAACAGTCTACATCAGCCTAAAATGCTGAGTCAGTATCTCTCTGAAGCATGGTGTCCTCAGGTGATAGTGAGACCTTTCATGGCCTCATAATTCTAATTATAGGTTTTCCTAATTATAGGTTTCTGCTTTGCTGAAGGGATCATTTCATCAAGACAGTGGTTCTTCTTTCATTTTTTTTTCAAATGATAATTTATTTAAAAAAATCTAGACATGGCATCTACAGAATACCTATATACTGACAGTATACACTGAACTTCAAACTAAGGCAGGTGGCTGGGCAAGGAACTGTTGAATTACCTTCACATATAAAAGTCTATTTCTAATATAGATGCTGAAGCTTTGGCATTTCTAGGTTATTTTGAGGGGGGTTGAGAGCAATGCAAAAGTGTATTTTATGTCTATAATATTCTCATCTTTTTTATGATGCTCATTTCAAAAGAAAGAACACTCCAGATAAGTCATTTCCTCCACCTGGTCTTAAACTTCCTCACTGGGAATAAGCTATGGGATATGTGATAAGGGACCTTGCACTGCTAGATTTCTGATATGTTCACATCAGGTAGACACTACATGATTTCCTTTTTCTAGATAAGGAAATAAAGGCCTAGAGAGGTGAGGTAGCTTGCCAAATGTCATAGGGTTACACAGTGGCAGAGATCAGAGTTGATCCAGGGTGTATGACAGAGGCCCTTCCCTTTCAAATGAGCACAGAGTATGTGAGGAACATTTGCACCTCCCTCTTTGTCTCTACTTCTACCCACCTTCACACATAGGTCATGCCAGCTGCTTGCATCTGCCCTAGAAGCCAGGTTGGACAGGGCTGGGCAGATAGTCTTTCTCCTGTTATTCAGGTGAGTGATGGGACAAGACCCAGAGAGATGATATGGCAAGGAGTGCAGACCCACAGAACTATAGGGCTGTGACAGCTTGAGGTACACCCAATCCAATCCTGTCTTGTAATATGGGGACAACGAGGACCAGAGAGAGAGAAGTGGCTGGGTCAAGGCCACTAGTTGAGGTAGTAGCAGAGCTGAGTCATAGACCTTAGTCAAGTTGCCTTCCCTTCTCTGAGTCTATTTCCTCATGTAGACAATGAGGGTGAACAGGACCACAGAGCATTAGTGAGGGTGCAGTGAGATCATGCATAACAGCCCTTGGCCCCTGGGGCTGCTTCTGCTTATGAAGACAAAAATGATAAAGAGAAGCAGGATGAATGCCCAGGACAATTCCTAATGTCTCAGGAGTTTGGGAAAGACGTAGCAGGCCTTGAAAGCCTAGAATGGGCCTAAGGGATGGAAAGCCACGACCATGTTCCAGCTAAATGAAAGGAGGTAGGGAACTGTCTGTATTGCATCCTGGGGTTTTGGGAGGGTGGGTATCAGGAAAAAGTGCCACACAAGTGGGTATGTTGCCCCCAGGATGCTGTGAGCCCCTCTCTGGCAGCAGCTACAGACTGCAGGGGCAGAGCAAGCTCTTGTACTCAAAGGGTCCTGGTTTTGACTTCTTACACTGCCATATTCTGGCTGTGTGACCTCAGACTAGAAGCCCCAGTGTCCTAATCCATGGGCTGGGCCTAATCACTCCCTCCTCTCAGGACTACCTGATTAATGGAAATATAGGCCCAGAAAGGAAATTGTACATAAATATCCAAAACAACTTTCTGCATAATAGTAACTGGAAATGAGTGAATCAATATTTGTCAATGAACAAGTGTGATAATAGGAGAAATCAGGCCTAAGCTGAGGAAAAGGCTGTGGGAGGTGTAAGTGCCATATGCACCTCTGCCACATTGGATGGTCACAGAAAATACTTGCCAATGGGAATTGTGAGCCTTTTTGGTGGGAGGTCTGTGGATAGTTGCCTGGGCTGGGCTGGAGTGAGGCCTGTCTTGATTTCCTATTGTCACTGAGCATGAGGAGGTGGCCATTTCTGCATGGCCTGCCCAACTCTCCTATGGGACACATAGTATGCCTGTTTTTCAAAGGCTATCCTTCCTCCCTACTCCTAGGCCGGCCTAGCTGCTCCCTTTCTTCCTGTGTAGATTGCTCTGAGTACTGTCCTTTGCAGAATGTGAGGCGTGCACCCATGGTGAGCCCCACCTGAGGAAGGGGAAGTGAAAGGGGGAGCATTGAGAAAGCCTGGTGGCCAGAGAGGTGGTGTCCTGCCCAGTACTGTCTCTGAGGTCTGCTTCCTACTCCTCTCCTTTCCAGATGAGCTTCCCTATCTCAAGTGTCCTCTGCACACAGTGCTCAAACTCACACCTGTGGCTTATGGTGAGTGCCCCATCCTCATAAGCAAAGGTACATAGAGGCCATGAGCATGCCTCTATTGCCTACCATTTGCCCCGAAGAGTCCAGGGAGTGGGCCCCTGGTTGGTGGTTGGACATCCTGCTGGAGGCGGGACTGGTGGTAGGTCACATAATAGGGAAGAACAAGGATGGTTTCTAAATTCCAGGTCTGCCTCCAGTTTTCTGTCTCTGCCAAGCACTGAGCATAGAACACTGAACTGTAGAAGGCCAGAGGGGGTCCCCAAAAGGAACCAAAGTAAAGTTGACCAGTCTGGGTAGTTGATATTCTGTATTGGGACATTAGTTAGCTATGAAAGGTTCATGAGGAGGGAGAAGACAGAATCAAATCTGGTTGGGGGAGTGAGAAGGAACAATGCCCTACTGAAGCCTGCAGTAGGGATGTAGCCTACCCATAGGAATGATCTAAAGGGACTTCTATAAGCATTGGGCCTCTTCTGCCAGCCCCAGGCCCCACTGATGCATGTTCCTCCTTCTTCAGGTTCCCTTGAACTCCTTGTGATCTCCATTCCTCTAGTGTTGCCATAGCCACATTACCCTCAAAATAAACTTTTCTTGGACCTAATTGCCCAAGGCAGTGGCCCAGGACTATTTCACCTCCATTGCACCTAGCATAACTTGGAGGATCCACAGAGCTCCATCCTTCGTACATAGATTAGATCACTGTCTCACTGGCCAAAAGAGTTTGGGGAGGCCATACAGATCTGCTCTCTTCTCTTTCCCCATGTTCAAATGAGCATTGGAAGTCAAGAGAACTTAGGGAAAGAGCTGGGGTGATGCCCTATTGGCAGCCTCTTTCTTATGTGGCATCTTCCCAAAATATCACATATCTCATCTGAATTCTATTCCCTACCCAGCAGATACAATCTGTATACAATATAAAGCTAGGATATGAGTGATAATGGGGGGTAGGAATGAAACTTTAGGAAAGACTTGTGCTCACCTTGGGGGCTTACAGACAAATGGGTTATTCTTTTCTGAGGCTGCAAAGTGGAGTCCATCTACCTGAATGTGGAGGCTGTGAATACACACCGAGAGAAGCCTGAGGTAGGTAGATTCCACACCCAAGCCCACTGTGGACACAGCACATGGTGAAGGCACCCTCCCAGATCCTGGGTGTTTCACATCACCAGAAGGAAAAAATCCAGAAATCTAGGAAATACAGCCAAGACCTAAGACACCTAGATAATCCCTGCCCAAAAGACCTTACACTGAGATTCACCCCCCAGGCCTCCCTAAGAAGAGGGTCAGGACTCAGAGCTGGTTGAAAGAGGGGAATCTGACAGTAAGGACAAGAGGCAGGGGAGGTCCTAGGGCCCCACACTGCTGTCTCCTTCTTTCTTATTAACCCTGGGCACTCTCTTCTCAGAATGTGGACATTTCCCGGGAACCCGAGGAAGCCCTGGACACTGTCCCTGCCCATTATTGAGATCTTTCTGAGATGTCAAACTGCTTCGGTCCTATCTTCCACCTTTAGGAACTGCTGTCCTTGCTATTCTCCTATTTTGAGAAGATTGTGGCTTTGGCCTCACTGGGAGAAGAAATCCTCAGCAGCTCCCAAACAGGTCTCAGTTCCTAGCTACTACCAAGGAGCAACCTAGCTCTGGATGAGGCTCTTTCTTAATTCCTATTCTCTGATCAATAAAGACTTCTCTTACTGCCTATAGGAGGATAGGAGAAGGTCATAGGGAGACTTCTCCCATTGTTTTCGAGATTCTAATCCTGATCCAGTTCTGGTGTTGTAGATGTGGAATGGGTGAGGAGTTCCTGAGAGTTTGGGGTAGTACCTGCAAAGATGGGAGAAGATAGGTCCCTGTGAGTGCTGGTGGAGCTTGTTCCTTGGTGGTTGATGTAAATGGGGGCAGGATACCTTTATCCCTATTTTCAGAGAAGAACCTGGCACTTGGGCAAGTGATCATCTTCTCTAACTCTTGTTGCCATCCTGAGTGTTTTCTGTCCATGTGAATGACCATCACACAGACCTCACACTCTGATCCCCTCAACTCCAGTGATCAACACCCTATCATCCCATGGATCTTGGCATCATCTCCTCCGTCTGACCTTGAATTCAAGCATCCCACTCTTATTCATAAGTCTTCACAACTCTGTCATTCATAGGGTCCCTAATAGCACACCTCCACACAGTAGGCATACATGTGGTATTTCTTAATGGGCAGTATTTGTACATCAAGAGTATAGTCCTTTGACTTCCCCATTATCTCCCAACCCATCAGTCTTCTGCCTCAATGTTCTTCCATCCCTAACCAGCTTGGGTCCTATGGTCTGCCTCTTAAGTTACTGTCTATACATCAACTATGAGACAAGCACCAAGTGACCCAGTGGTAAAAAGTCTTCAAAAGACTTTATTCACACACTTGCTGCCTTTGTTCTCTTGTTCTTTCATCATAACCACCCAATGAGATCCAAACCCTAAATAATTCATACCTCCATTTTTGTTGAGACCTACTACAGGTTGTAGATCACTGCTTAAAATGATGATGATCTATATTCATCTGCTTCCATACGCCTAAATCCTGTTCAATAGTCATGTTCTATTTTCTGGTACCTTATCCCACCCCACCCTCTTGGACTACTTCTGTAAATTCCTGACTCTTCCATCTACCTTCTGGCCCTCTCTATTGGTTTTGGTGTCATAGTCTTTACAATATGCTTAAGACTTTCCTAATCCAGGAAAACTGTCCCTTGTTCCCATGTTTACCCCTAGTTGCCCCCCCTTCTGTCCCTCCATTCTTACACAGATAATTCAAAATTAATCTGTACTTACACTCTAGAACTCTTTCTCTTTGCATTCTGCTTTTGGCTTCCCCCCTTTGTATTTTTTTCAAGCTATTATCCTCGGGTTTGCCATGCTTTCCTAGGCTTCCCCCCACTTAAGAAATACCTGCCTTTTAGCCTGAAGCTGGACCCCACATTCCCAAAAGAGCTATGCTGATCTCTAGCTCTTCTACAAACCCAAAATGTCACTCACAATTACCTAAGCAAATTAAAAGAAAAAAACTCCAATTCATTTTGCAAATTTAATAACTCTAATACCAAAATATGACAGCACACAGAAAGCAAACAAGAAAGCAAGAACAGCGAACAGATTTTTTTCAAAGCATGTCACCCTCAGCTGATTGGTAGTAGCTGCTTAGGACTGCTGTGTGGACAAAGATTCCAAGGCTGTACCTTGGCTCCATGGGAAAGACTGCTGCAATTTATTAGTGGTATCTGTAAACATGGGGAATAAACCTGAAAACGAAACACCAAAAACATTTTAGGACCAAATATACTGTTTTCTCATACTTCCTTCATTGCCTTCATCTTCCCACTCAGCCCCCCTCCCTCATGGTTTCTTCTAAATATAATATCCCAAATATTATACCCAACCCCATGGACTCTGGATATGGAAATATGGCATTCACCTGAAACTTCATTAGCCGTAGGAGAAGCCACAGGCACCAAGGCTGTTAGGTCCACCACCAAAGCCAGAACCGGTGCTTGGTCCACCGCCGAATCCAGCACTGCTGCTTGGTCCACCACCGAAGCCAGCACTGCTGCTTGGTCCACCGAAGCCTGTACTGGTGCCCAGTCCACCACCGAAGCCAGCTCCGGTGCTCGGTCCTCCAAAGCCAGCTCCGGTGCTCAGTCCACCACCAAAGCCACCAGTGCTTGGCCCACTGCAGAAGCCAGCACCAGTGCTCGGTCCACTATTGAAGCCAACAATAGAAGTGGGTCCACTATTGAAGCTGGTGCCGGTGCTGGGTTCGCCAGTAAAGCCAGTGCTGGTGTTGGAACCACTGCCAAAGCCAATGATGGTACTCAGTCCTCTGTCAAAGCTGGCATTAGGCCCACCGCCAAAGCCATCGCTGGTGCTGAGGCCACCACTAAAACCCACACCAGTGCCAAGTGTGCTGCCAAAACCAGCATTGGTACCCAGTGCACTACCAAAGCCATCACTGGTGACTAGTTCGCCACCAAAGCCAGTGCTGGTGCCCAGTCCGCCACTGAAGCCCGCACTGGTACCTAATCCACCACCAAAGCCAGTGCCGGTGCCTAGTCCACCATCAAAGTCAGTGCCAGTGCCTAGTCCGCCACCGAAGCCAGTGCTGGTGCTTAGTCCGCCACCAAAGTCAGCACTGGTACCTAGGCCACCATCGAAGCCGGAGCCACTGCCTAGGCCGCCACCGAAGCCAGTACTGGTGCCTAGGTTGCCACCGAAGCCAGCACTGGTGCCTAGGTTGCCACCGAAGCCAGCACTGGTGCTCAGTCCACCTCCAAATCCAGCACTGGTGCTTAACCCATTACCAAAGCTGAAACCGGCACTGGTGCTGGGTCCATCACTAAAACTGGCACTGGTGGCACCACTAAAGCAGGCACTGGTGCTAGGAGAGCCACCAAAGCATAGGTTGGTGTTAGATGCACTGCCAAAGCAGAGGCTGGTGCTGGGAGCTCCACCAAAACAGAGGCTGGTGCTGTGAGCACCACCAAAGCTGACGCTGGTGCTGGGAGCATTGCCAAAGCCAATGCTGTTGCTGTGAGTACTGCCAAAGTCAGTAGTGGTACTAAGTGCCCCACTGAAGCCAGCACTGGTGCTGAATGCACCACCAAAGCCAGGGTTGGTGCTTGGTGCACCACTGAAGCCAGCACTAGTACTGACAGCACCATCAAAGCCAGCACTGGTACTCATGGCATTGCCAAAGCCGGCACTGCTGCTGAGTGCACCTCCAAAGCCGGCACTGGTGCTGATGACACTGCCAAAGCCGGCATTGCTATTGAGTGTACTGCCAAAGCCAGTATTGGTGCTGATGGCACCACCAAAGCCAGCACTGGTGCCAATGGCACTGCTGAAGCTGGCATTGCTGTTGAGTGCACCACCAAAGCTGGAGCTGGTGCTGATGGCACTGCCAAAGCCAGCACTGCTGTTGAGTGCACTGCCAAAGTTGGCACTGGTGCTGATGGCATCACCAAAGCCGGCACTGGTGCTGATGGCACCGCCAAAGCCAGCACTGCTATTAAGTGCACCACCAAAGCTGGCACTGGTACTAGGAGAGCCACCAAAGCAGACACTGGTGCTTAGTGTGCCTCCAAAGTCAGGACTGGTGATAGAAGAGCCACCAAAGGAGACACTGGTGCTTAGTGTACCACCAAAACCAGTGCTGGTGCTAGGAGAGCCACCGAAACAGATACTAGTACTGAGTGTGCCACCAAAGCTGGAACCAGAACTTGGAGAGCCACCAAAACATACACTGGTGCTAAGTGTGCCTCCAAAGCCAGTGCTGGTGCTAAGTGCGCCAGTGAAGACAGTGCTTGTGGTGGGTGTACTGCCAAAGCTGGTGCTAGTGCTAAGTGCACTGCTAAAGCCAGCTGTGGTGCTGCTGAGCGTGCCTCCAAAGCCAGAGCTGGCTCCACCACTGAAACTGGCACTTGTACAAGGTGCACCACCAAAACTGATGCTGGCTCCACCACTGTAACTAGTGCCGGTGCCAGGTGCACCACCAAAGCTAATGCTGGCTCCCCCACTAAAGCTGGTGCCGATGCTGGGTGCACCACCAAAGCTAATGCAGGCTCCTCCACTAAAGCTGGTGCTTGTGCTGGGTGCACCACCAAAACTAATGCTGGCTGTGCTGCTGAAACTAGTGCTAGTGCTGGGTGCACCACCAAAGCTAATGCTGGCTCCTCCACTGAAACTAGTAATAGTGTTAGATGTGCCACCAAAGCTAATGCTGGCTGTGCTGCAGAAGCTGGCACTGGTACTGGGTGCACCACCAAAGCTAATGCTGGCTCCACCGCTGAAACTAGTGTTAGTGCTGGGTGCACCACCAAAGCTAATGCTGGCTGCACTGCTGAAACTGGCACTGGTACTGGATGTGCCACCAAAGCTAATGCTGGCTGCATTGCTGAAGCTAGCACTGGTGCTGGGTGCACCTCCGAAGGTAATACCAGCTCCACCACCAAAGCCATCACTGGGGCCGGGTGCACCATTAAAGCTAACACTAGCACCATCACTGAAACCACCCCTGGTGCTAGTTCCTCGGTTGAAGTTGACATTGGTGGTGGCATCTGCATTTTCTTGGGCTCTCGCCTCAATTTCAAATGAAAATCTGCTCCAGGCCTGAGCATCATCACCTAATTCTTCCCTTGTTAGGCAGTCGATATCCATGTCATCCCAATTCCAAGGCCCAGCCACAGCTTCCTCTCCAATCCCCATTTGGGCTCTTGCCTCAGCCCTGGCCTCAGCCTCAGCCACAGCCACAGCTGCAGCTTGGACTTCCATCTCCACTGCCTCCCGATACTGAGCAGCCCAGTCTTTGGGGTCTTTCTTCTGCACCTTAAATGGAAATAATAATTATTATAAAGAAAAGAACCTTTGTAATGATATGTGAAGCACCTACTAAGAGCTTTGGATAAAATTAAGAGCATTAATTTTTTAAAATTCTTATTAAGGCTCTGTCATGGGTCAGTCCTGGGATCTAATTTCAGCTCTGATAACTTAGGAACAATAAAATTATGGACAAGTTATTTAACTTTATTGAACCCAAGTGTCTTCATTCATAATATGGGAAATGACAGTATGCCCAGTGTGACTGTTTGGGGAGATAGGGCTGTTATAGAGGTAATTTATAGTTAGTTAATAAGGTCTTAAGGTTGGGGCCCTCATCCAATAGGATTAGTGTCCTTGTAAGAAGGGTCACTGCAAGAAGGCAGCTTTCTCTAAGCCAGGAAGAGAGCCCTCACCAGAAACCAACTGTGCAGGACCTTGATCTGGGATTCTCAGACTCCATAACTGTGAGAAAACAAATTTCTGTTTTTAAACCAATCAATTTATGATATTTTGTTATAGAAGCCTGAACTAATTAATACAAAGCATAGGAATGAATAAAACAATGTAAACTATATTTCTAGCAACATTCTGGGATATTAATGAGGCTTCATATGTTTACATATAAACTGCAGGTTGTTTTGTACCTGTCTATTACTACACGCAGGCTTTGTCAGCCAGAGACATGTCATTCCCTTAACATTCCAAATCAGGCAGCTATGTTACCTTGCATGCAAACTTGAGGACTTTCATCTTGCTAGTCTCATGGTAAGAGCGCAGGCCCCAGAAGAACTCATACTCAGGTGGTCTGCTGTTGGGGACCCTCTTATACTCCAGGTACCTTGGAAAGGAAACAAAGCTTACTTCTAGCCAAGCAAACCTGTTGTTTAACCACTAGGTCTCATATGACAACCTCTTCTACACAAATGCTAAATAGCCCCTACAGAGGTATTTCCAAGACTCTCCAGCCCAAGATTCATTCTCACACATAGTTCATGGTCTTGGCCTTCCAAGACCATTTCCCAATGACCCTGTGCAAAGGCACCTGGGGTATATAGGGCATGATGTCACAGGATGGCCAATGTATCCTGCCACCTGTGAGGAGTAAACCCAGATTGCTGTTGGGTGTGTTGTAAACAGAGAAGCCATTCTTCAGGCCCCCTGCTCTGAGCACACCCCATTGCAAGGGCATTGTGTTGGTCTGTTCCTAGTCCTGGATATGTCCCTCCATGGGAATTTTAGACAGGACTCATTTTTAGAACACAAGATGCTCATCCCTCTAAAGACAGCATCAAGAAGGCACTGACTAAGCACTTTCTGAACTAGACTAGCACCCCCAGAACACATCAGGGTCAAATAAAACCCCCAAACACCACTTACTTTTGCTTCACAAATTCGTCTGTGATGAGCTTCCTCACTTCCCCAAAAAGTGAATGTCTCACCCTGGCAATGGGAAAAATAACCCATGAACACAGACCAAAACTGCCCAGATTAGTGCAGAGGCATTTCCCAACTGGAAGGAAACCTCTCTAGCACATGGGGTAGTCTCAACGAAGAGAAGAAAGTAGTGAGCACATAGCCACTAGAAGAAGCAAGCAGCCGGAGGCCAGATGGCTCTTTCTCAGGGATCCCTGAAGGTTTATCTTACATCTCAGCTCAGAACAGATGGAGGACATAAAGGAGAAAGGGAGTAAAGAGTTCATAATCATTTCCCCATCCACCCAGCCCAGCACCCCCCACCCGCGCCACCAGACCACCAGGCTGATGCAATCCTGGGACCGTCCTCTCTTGCCAAAGGACAACACGGACAGCAAGCGCTGAGAGAGCCCAATCATACCCAGGGCGCAGCCCCAACTTGCGTAGCACCTCCCAGATGACAGCTGCAAGGGGAGGCAAGAGGGAATAGGGACAGAAAATGAACACATGGAATTCAGAGCACAGCCACCCATTCAGCTGCATGCCCAGCCACTCACCCTCACTGGCCTTATTGCCATTCATAAAAATGACACTCAGAATCACCATGAGGAGACCCAGCTTGGGTGTATCCTTGGTCCTAAAGGAATAATAGGACAGAGAAGGTTTATGTCCTGGAGCCACATACAAGACACACCAGCCAGCTCAAAAGTCTAGACTCTCCCAGATCCCTCAGATTTTGGAGAATTCTGTCCTGTCTGTGCTTACAACTCCATGTGACCCCAGACAAGGCACTTAAGACCCATGAATCAAAGTCTCACATTCAGCAAAATTGGAAAATCATGTTCTACCTCCCACCCCAGGTTGCCATGAAAATGAAGGAATGCCTGTCAACTGGGCACAACAAGGGCACCCAGTCAATATGAGTCCCTTCTCTCCCAGAGCCCTCATACCTGAGCAAATTCTAGGCAGAACCCCAGTGATGCCACTTCTCATGATCTTGGGAGGTGAAGCCATGATATGGTTTCTTTCATGTGAGTCTATAGTGATTCTGCAATTCTGATTTCAAGTCTAAGCCATGATTCTATTCGTGGTCATTCCTTGCCTGGACTGGTTACCTCCTAGGGGTAAGTCTAGCATTCTCAGTTAGATTGTGTACTCCTTGAGGACAGAGACAGCAGTTTTTTCTTTTCTAAATCCACAGAGCATGGAAGGAAGGAGTAAGCACTACACAAAGATATATATGCAGAAGTATATTCAACCTTTTCTTGTCCTTGGAGCATCATGATCCACCTACATTAGGAAGCCTTCCCATGAGAATTATTCTGCCAAGGCAAGGCCAGGCACTCAGTAGGAAGAAAACAGGCAACAACAGGCCTGGTTTCCTGGGAAGTTTCTATCTGGAGAGACAACTAGCCTGATAGCAGGAATGTCCAACCCAGCCTCCTACACCCTTCAGTCAATCATAATCATGTACTACTATTGTGTATGGGTCTCCAACCATGAATAGGAGCTGGCACAGGGTCTTTTTAGGATCCATCTTTCCAATCCTCTAAGAGGATGTTGGAGGAGAGAGCAAGAAAAGGATGTTGGAGGAGAGAGCAAGAAGAGGATGTTGGAACAGAGAGCAAGAAAGGGGTAGTGCCATGGATGAAAGTAGAAGCCCCCTCTGACCCCAGCCCTTTCCCAGCTTACGTTCCCAGTATGCCTGCAGAGGATTCCTGAGTGCTGATCAGAATATACAAGCTACTTTGCTTATCGATTTCCTTCAGATTGACTCGAAACATCTGTCAAACAAAATAATAGCTTGTGAGATCACAAATTTTAATTCAGTCATCAATGAGTTTCCCAGGCATTAGGCAGCTTCCCATATAACTGGGGGTTTTGTATATATGCACAATCAGTGAGGTAATGCATGTAAAGTACATAACTAAGTGCCCAGCACACTAAACATGCAATAAATGTACTACTGTCATCAACTTTATCTTTGTGATTTGTGTGAATCTAAGGAGACACAGAGGTGAGCATCTGAAATATTCATCTAGCAGCAGACAGAAGCCAGGACTAATTTGAATGGCTTGGGTCTTCACTGTGCTTTTTACCACTGACTAGCAGTGCGACCCATAGCTGGTCTATGCTCCTCTTTGGACCCATCTGTACAGTGATAACCTCTGTGGTTCTCCCCAGAAGGAGATTGTGATTGTATACCTTTGTTCCATTCAAGGCTTCCTCAGTGCACCCATACCCCAGGCTGCCCATTCACCTTTTCCAGAGCGTAGCTTGCTCGTTCAATGATCTCTGGGAAATATTCATCATATTCTTGGATGACATCCTTCAGCATGTCTACAAGAAGGGAGAGGTAGGAACACCTGGTCTGAGCATGGGCCATAGAGCTGCAGCCCTTTTTTAAAAAGAATGGGGTTTTTTGGCTGTTGATGGACCTTTATTTTTTTTACTTATATGTGGTGCTGAGAATCAAACCCAGTTCCTCACACATGCTAGGCAAGTGCTCTACCACTGAGACACAACCCAGCCCCAACTATAGCCCTTTTGTCAGCCCAGTGGGGTCAGTGCAATCAGAGCCTTGAACTAGGTTATTAAAAGATGCTAGCTCTGATAATGTAGGAGGAAAACAATGGTAGAGATATTAGAGAATAAGCAAGCCATAAAGGTAAAGGATTAACCCCAGACTATGGGATGGGGTGGCTCAAAGAGGAGGATTGGTAGGACACTACCTGAGCGCTTTATGGGGATCTTTGTTTGATCCTTAACCAACAGGTATTTCACCAATTTATTTGCCTGAAAAAAGGGAAAGATAGTGAGATCTCAATATACTTGTAAGATGGCAGAAAAGAGGCAGAGGAAGAAAACAGAGGAGGCAGCATTGGATTCTTACCCTTTCTTGCAAAATGGCCACATCTCGTGGTGGCGTAGGTCTCCGGCCCCATGGGATCCGCCTATAATTACTGCCACTTCTCTCATCCCCATTTGGATGTTTGGACTTCATCACAAGAAAGAAGAAAGATATGGTGAAAGATATGGCTGTCTCTTCCAGCAAGTCCCCTTCAATTCCCCCCTACAGTGGGGCCTGACCCTGCCATTGGCTACCCAGAGTCCTGGGATTTTCTTCCACTGTCTTCCAGGCAGAAATTTAATTGCCCTGTTCAGGCTAGAATAACCTAAGGGCCTCGGACAGCTCTGCTTCCTTGGGTATCACTAGACTCTGCTAGCTGTACTCCCTGGACAAGTAACTTCACTTCAGTGGGACTCAGTTTGCTTATCTGTAAAACTAGAACTTATGGTTCCTGTATCCCTTTCAAGATATAAAGGCATGGCTTTTGTAAATGTATCCAACCCAAAGTTTGGAACATGGTGACCACTATGTAAATACAAGGTGAATTACATACAGGTTATATCTAAGTATATAGATATCTTACTTCCCCACCACTCTGTGAACTGCTAGTTGGTCACAAACTCTATTCCATTCTTATCAGCATCTCCCATATCCTATATGAACACAGGGACTAGTAAAAAGACTCAGTAAATGTTTATAGAAGAAATGAGCAAACAAGGAAAACAGGAATGGAAAAGAATTACAAACTTAAGGATGCTGTCAGAGATCTCACCTTTCGGTTTCTCTTGCCCCGGGTCCTAGTTGTGGGCTCCAGACTCAACTGAGCCAAATAGTCATCTGCCAGGGCCTGGACAGCAGCAGCAACCTGAGTCTCAAGGGCGCTTATGCTGGTCTGAGAGGCAGCCATCTTCACCTGAGCCCCCTGGTCAGCAACTGGGGTCTGGTTTTCAGTTACCCGAGCCTTAGTGCCAGCCTTTCGAGCCCTAGACCCTCTCTTGACTCGAATAGTAGCTACTATGGTTTGGTTTGTAACCATCTGAGTGGTGGGTGGAGCCTCAGTGATCTCAGAGGCAGAATTTGGGCCCTTATTGACAACCTTCTTTCCCTTGGGCTTTTTGGGCCGGAGAGCTGCTGCTGTGGCCTCAATCTGCCTGCTCACTGCCTCAGTAGAATTTGGAGACTCTAGATGTTCTGTGTCAGTATTTGGGGCCTTAGCAGTTGTCTTATTGGCCTTGGGAGCTTTCTTGGTTCTGATAGAGGCTGCTGTAGCTTGGATATTGGCTGTCTCACTGGTAATTTGGCCTTGGGTAGTAGCTATGTGGATAGTAGTTGGAGCTGGTAAGATTTCAGTGGCACTAGCTATGGTCTTATTGGCAGCCTTCTTGGCCTTGGAAGCTTTCTTAGGCTTGGTAGAGACTATCAAGGCCAGGGAACTGGCTGACTCACTGGCAACTGGAACCTGGATAGTCTGTGAAATCACCGGTAGGTTTAGGGTCTGCAAGGGTGACTTGAGTTGGGTAGTAACACCCTCACTCCCAGTTGGGGACTGGGAGCCTTGGGCTACCTTGGCAGAAACTCTCTTTGTCTTGTTGGCTTTCTTAGGCTGAACAGTGACTGAAGAAGCCTGAATATTGGCTACCTCAGTAGTAGCTGAAGACTGGCTGATCTGAGTGAGCATGGGCAAGTTTAAAGCCTGTAAAGTTATTTTGGGCTTGTTGGTGGCAATCTCATTGGCAGTTGGGACTGGAGAGGCAGCAGGTGCAGACTTAGTAACAGCCTTAAGAGAAGTCTTCTTGGTCTTGCTTTTCTTAGGTCGGTTGGCAACAGGTGGGTCCTTGGTTGCCGCCAACAGGGTATGCATCAGCAAGACACTGTCCTCTTCTGTGGTCTCAGTCTGTACATCTGGAGGGAAGGGAAGCCCCAGGCTCCCAGAGGGAGGCAGAGGGCCCTACACACTTAGGATTATGATCCTTTGGGCTACCTGCCTCCCTATGCCCACCCTTTTCCAGAAAGCTTCTCTTTCTTCTGAACAGTGTTTGATTGAAGGGAGTGATACAATCAGGCAGGTTTTCCACTCCTCCCCCTCCCCTTCCACCATGCAAAGGAGAACTGAGACAGATTAGGCAGGCAATTATGCTAATACAGGGTGGTGAGGGGCTCACATGCAATTAACTCAGGACAGGGCAGATAGCATGATAAGAATGCAGAGAGGCCTCACCTGGAACACCGTTGTTCTATAACCATAGTCATTTCTTCTATCCATCTTTCTGGAAAGCCAAGTAAAAGCTAAGCCTGAGAGAAATAGGCTGAATTTGGGGAGAATGATAAGGAGGGAGAGAAGGAGAGGGAGAGGGAGATTCATCAGAGGTTTTGCCTCATTTGAAGGCAGGGAGGGTCTCACCTAACCTTGGACCCCAAACCATTCAACTCCTGGGTTCTCATTACCTAGAAACCCAGGCGGTCTGGTTTCCGGCCACCAGCAGCGTTTTTATTTTTCCAAGATGGCAAGTCAGTTCTATGACAACGCCCCTGCACCTACGAACGCCCCCTACTGCAATTTGAGAGTGCGCATGCGCACCAAACAGAGCCCCCACCTTTGGCACACCGCTTTCTCAGACGAACCCGTTCGAGGCCCCCAGTGCGCATGCGCCTTGATGGACTGGACCGTCTCTAGCCCCTGCTCTCAGAGCAACAAAACACCTCGGTCCCACCCCTCACCCCCTCTTTCTAACTGCATCACATCCCAGTCCAACCCTTCCCCCAACACTGGCTCCTTCCCTCTGATCTGCAGTACTGCTTCGCACCACCCCTTCCCCAACACCGCCCACCCCTCCTCTGCAGTACAGCCACGCACCACCCCTTTCGGATATGCCCCCTCCCTCTTTTCTGCAGTACTTCTCCGCACCTCCCCTCCCCTTAATAAGCCCCCTCCCTCCATTCTGCGGCAAGTCTCTGCACCGCCCCTTCCCCAACACAGCTCCCCCCTCTTTCCACGTCTGCAAGTGCCCGGCCCCGCCCTTTCTGCAACATGGATACCCCACCAACAAATCCAACGGTATTAACCTGTGTGTTCCCTGTTCTCCAAAAACCCTACCAGGTTCCGTCTCTTCCCTTCTTCAAACCAGAACCAACCGGATTCTAGCCCTTCCTTTCTCCCTTCAGAGCCTGGTCCTTTCAGCCCCTTAATTTAAAAAAAAAAAAAAAGGAAAAAATCCTGCCCCCTCCTTCCTCAGTACCGACCCCTTCTTTCGTTAGCCCAAACTGGGTCCTGCCCCCTTTCTCCAGCCTGAACGGGATCCCGCTGTCTGTCTCTCATCTCCCTTCCGAACTGGGTCCTCCACCCTTCTTTCTACCGCCTGAAATATTTCTCCATCTTTCCTTTTCTATGACCCCAAGCAGGTCTACATCCCACCTTTCTCCCGCGGAACCGGGTTCAGACCTTTCTAGTGCCCACAGGGTATTCCTCCTCCTCCCTTTTCCCATGAGAATCGGGTCCAGGCACCGCTAAACACAACCACTTCTATGCGATTAGATCCCAAACCCTGAGTAGGGTTTCTTCAAACCTTAAGGCTATATGGAGTCAGGAGCCTTGAAGCCTCAGCCCAGAGGCCCCCAGAGGTTCTTCACTAAAGCTGGGCACCTCAGCTCACCTCGTCCTCTGGAGTCCAGAAAGCGTCTGCTCTCTCCAAGCCTCTCCTTAGGTCTGAGCCAGTCCCCCGCCTCCCTGGCCGGAAGTGGTCCTGCCTCTTTCCGCCTCCGGAGGGGGGTCTCGGTCCCTGCTGGTCTGCCCTCTCTCCCTCCCCCTCCCTACTTCCAACTTTCCATTCTCCTCAGTGTAGCTCCTCATTTCTGTTTACTGCCCGTTATTCAGCAATCACTCACTCCTCTTCTCCATTTGATTTCCCTGTTCTCCATTCTGTATCCCTGTTCCTGTTGGATTCTCCTGTTCCTTCTAGAGCTCCCACACCACCCCTTCCTACAGCCCCCTCTATCCCAACAAATTAGGATATTTAGAGTCTAAACATTAAAAGATAGGATGCTCCCTCATCATATATATTCAGAATAAAAAACAACAAATATAAGAAAGCCCACAAAAGATTTTTATTTATCCTGCAATTACTATGTTGTTGCTGTTAAAAAAATCAACTTATTTAAAAACTATTGGGGCCATGTTCCTTCTTCACTGATACACCAAGCAAGTATTTAGATTTGTTTCTTGTGACACAGTGCATTGGTACACTGTGCAGAAAAAAATTTCACTTATTTGCTTGATCTTATGTTAGACATCATAGACTTGAAGTCAAAACCATAAAATTAAACAAAAAGGTCATTATATCATGATAAAGGCGTCAATTCATCAGTAGAATATATATATATATATATATATATATATATATATATATCCAGCATTGAAGCATTTATACATATGAAGCAAATATTCATACAGCTGCGGGAGGGAGAGATACACTACAATAAAATAATAGTAGAGGACTTCAATACCCTACTATTGACAATGCACGGATCATCCAGACAGAAAATCAATAAGGAAACATTGTACTTGAACTACACTTCAGACTAAATGGACCTAACAAACATCTACAGAACATTCCATCCAACAGCTGCAGAACACACATTCTTCTCCAGTGCAAACAACATTCTCCAGGATAGATCATAATTCGGGCTACAAAACAAGTCCCAACAAATTTTAATTCATATCAAATATCTTACAACCACAATAGCATAAACCTTGAATTCCAAAACAAGAGAAACTTCAAAAATTCATAAATACATGAAAATTAAATAATGTGCTTCTGAACAACAAATGTGTCAAAGGAAATTAAAAAGGAAATGTAAAATATCTTAACACAATCAAAAAGTGGATCACAATATATTTAAACTTATGGGATGCAGCAAAAGCAATTCTAAAAGAAAATTTATAGTATTAAATGCCTTCATCAAAAAGAAGAATGATACCAAATACATAACCTAATAGTATGCCTCAAGGAACTACTGAAAGAACTAAGCCAAAATTAGTAGAAGAAAGATCAAAGTAAAAAATAAATGAAATAGACACTAGAAAAAAACAATAGAAAAGACAAATAAACAGAGCCCCCCCCCCCTTTTGTTACTGGGGATCTAACTCAAGGTGCTTAATCACTGAGACACACACATCCCCAGTGCATTTTAAATTTTTTACTTTGATGCAGGGTCTCGCTAAGTTGCTTAAGGCCTTACTCAATTGCTGAGGCTGACCTTTAATTTGCAATCCTCCTGCCTCAGTCTCCTAAACCACTGGGATTACAGGCATGTGCCACCACGCCCAGCGAGTTGCTTTTTTGAAAGGATAAAACTGAAAAAACTCTAGCTAGATAGATCAACTAAAAACATGACAGAAGACAAATTAAAAATGTAGATATATTACAACCAATAGCACAGAAATACAAAAGATCATAAGAGAACACTAAGAAATTTTGTAAGCCAAGAAATCAGAAACCTAGAATAAATGGAAAAATTCCTAGATACATGCAAGCTACCAAAGCTAAATCATAAATAAACAAAATCTGAACAGACCAATAATGAGGAAGGGGATTAAATGAGTAATAAAATTTTTCCATCAAAGAAAAGCCCAAGATCTGGTGATCTCACGGATGAACTATGTACAACCAACAAATAATAAATATACATCTTTCTCAAACTCTTCCAAAAATTAGAGAAGAGGGAGTATCTCCAAACTCACTTTGTAAGAACATCACGACTTTGATATCAAAACCAGACATGGACATTAAAAGACAAAAGTATTATAGGCCAATATCCGTGACTAACATAAATGCAAAAATCCTCAACAAAATACTTGCAAGTTGAATACAACATCATGTCAGAAAGTTTAAACACCATGATCAAGTTGGATTTATCCTAGGAGTGCAAAGATGATTTACACATACAAATCACTAAATTTGATACATTACATTAACAGAACAAAGGGTAAAAATAATATGAGCCTCTCAATAGATGCAGAAAAATCATTTGAAATAGTTCAAACTTTCATGATTTAAACAATGTTCAAAATTTAGGTATAGAAGGAATGTACCTCAAAATAGTAATGGGTGTATGTGAAGAACCCACACCTAACATCATACTGAATAACAAAAAGTATAGATTTTGTTAAGATAAGGAACAAACAAAGATGACTACTCTCACTTCTATTCAAGATGGTACTGATATCCTAGCCAAAACAATCAGGCAAGAGAAAGAAATAAAAGGCATCCATACTGGAAAGGAAGAAGTTAAATTGTCCCTTTTGCAGACAACATGATCCTATGTGTAGAAAATACTAATGATCACACAAAATCCTGTTAGAACTAATAAACAAATTCAGTAATCTTGCAGGAAAGAAAGTCAAAATATAAAAATTAGTTGTATTTCTATACACTGATAACAAACTGTCAGAAAAGGAAATTAAAATTTTATCAAAAACAGAGACCAATGGAACAGAATAGAGAGTCATAAATAAATCCATTAATTCATGGTCAATTGATTTTTGACATTGATACCAAGAACATACAAGGCATAAAGGGCAGTCTCTTCAAATAAGTGGTGCTTGGAAGACTGGGTATCCTCATGAAGAGAAATTAAAACAGATTCTTATCTTCCATCACAAATAAATCAACTCAAAATGGATTGGTCTTAAACATAATACCTGAAGTTGTAAAAGTACTGGAAGAAAACATAGCAAAGAATTTTTTAATATGACACCAAAAGCAGTCAACAAAAGCAAAAATAAACAGGTGGAACTGTAAAACTAAACAGCTTCTGCACAGCCAAGGAAATAATGAATATAGTGTAAACAGTGTATGGAATGGGAGAAAATATTTGCAAACCATATATAACATAAAGAGTTGATATACAAAATATACCAGGAACTAAAACAATAGCAAGAAAACAATAACAATTAAAAATGGACAAAGTACCTGAATAGACAGACATTTCTCCAAAAACATACAAACGGCCAACGGATATATAGCAAGACACTGAATATCTCTATCATCAGGGAAGGCAAAGTAAAGCCACAATTACATATCACCTTGATTGGTGATTGATCATCAAAAAGATGAAAAATAACAAGTGTTGTCAAAGATGCAGACAGAAGGGAACCCTTGCACAACTTTGGTAGGCATGTACATTATTGCAGCCAAAATGGAAAACACTATGATTATAAAATTAAAATAAAAGCACCGTATGATTGAGAAATCCCAGCTATATATATCCAAAGGACATAAAATCACTATGCTAAAGAGACATTTGCATTCTCCTGTTCATTGCAG